CATACAAGCAGCTGTGGAAACAGCAGTGACATCTGTTAGTGACTTAAACCACAGAGTTACAAGGAACCAGTGGATTTCTTCAAGGTCTGTCACACTGATGGATTCTCGCAAACTCGTCCCATCAGGTTCTGAACATGATGAAGAGCGTAAACAAATCAGATCTAGGTTAAGAAAAAGTCTAAGGAACGACCGTGAGCAGTGGTGGGTAACGAAAGCAAAAGAGATGGAAAAGGCGGCGACTATAGGGAACACAAGACAGCTTTACAGACTAATAAAAGAAACTGGAACTAATAAGTCAAGTGTAAGTGAGATTATTTCGGAAAAAGATGATACTCTCATCTGCTCCCAGTCCAGACGTTTAGAACGATGGGCGGAACATTTTAGAGAACAGTTCAGCTGGCCTTCAGCTACTCTACAACTACCCTCCATTCCCAGACAAAGTGAATGGAACATTGAAGTAGGTCCCCCAACTCTTGCTGAAGTTGAGAAGGCTATAGTTAATCTGAAACGAGGAAGGGCAGCTGGTCCAGATGGACTGGCTCCAGAAGTCTTTAAGGATGGTGGTCCAATTTTAGCGACTAGGTTGACTAATATTTTGGCTAAAATCTGGGAGTTAGACGTTATCCCATCTGACTGGTCGCAATCACTTATCGTCCCAATATATAAGAAAGGGTCAAAATCATCCTGTGACAACCACAGAGGGATTAGTTTAACAAACATAGTATCTAAAATACTGGCCTCGATAATTATCAAACGCCTAACTAAGACTCGTGAACTACAAACACGAGAGAACCAAGCTGGCTTTAGACCTGGTCGTGGCTGCATCGACCACATATTCACCATTCGTCAGGTTCTAGAACACAGGCATACCTATCGGCGTCCGACGATGGTGGTCTTTCTTGACTTAAAAGCAGCATTTGACTCTGTAGACCGCGAGACTCTGTGGCAGTGTCTGTCATTGAAAGGCGTACCTCAGAAGTACATAAACCTTGTGAAGGCTCTTTACTCGAACACTACTAGTCGAGTCAGGGCTTATGGCGAACTGTCATCTACCTTTACAACCTCAAGTGGTGTCCGTCAAGGCTGCCCACTTTCTCCATTTTTGTTTAACTTCATCATAGACCTATTGATGGAAATAACACTCTCGTCGACTGAATTCTCGGGTATTGATCTCCTTCCAGGAGGTCCACTTATCGACTTAGAATACGCAGATGACATAGTCCTGTTTGGTGAAGACGCTGACAAAATGCAGAGTCTTCTGGTAGCACTAAGCAACAATGCCAGAATGTTTGGGATGCGCTTCTCTCCCTCTAAATGCAAGTTGTTGCTTCAGGACTGGTCTGCGTCAACACCTGAACTAAGGATAGGGAGTGAAGTAGTCGAACGTGTTGACAACTTCACTTATCTTGGAAGTCTGATCAGCCCTAATGGGTTGGTGTCTGACGAAATCTCAGCACGGATTCGTAAAGCTCGTTTGGCTTTTGCCAACTTACGTCACCTTTGGCGGAGGCGAGATATCCGTCTATCAATAAAAGGACGAGTATACTGCGCGGCTGTCCGTTCTGTTTTAATTTACGGCAGCGAAACATGGCCCTTAAGAGTAGAAGACACCCGTAAGCTACTAGTATTTGACCACAGATGCCTTAGAAATATTGCTGGCATCTGCTGGGATCACCGGGTAAGTAATAGTGAGGTTAGACGCAGGGTATTAGGGAATGATGGTAAATCAGTTGATGAGGTTATGAATCTTCATCGACTGAGATGGTTGGGCCACGTATTACGTATGCCTGAACACCGATTACCGCGACGTGCAATGCTAACCGGTGTAGGGGATGGTTGGAAGAAAGTTAGGGGCGGCCAAACCAAAACGTGGCATCAGTGCCTGAAGTCACTAACTTCTAGTCTGAGCCATGTTGGTAGATGCAGACTACTTGGTTGGGGTCCGCGTGACTTTCGTAACCAATGGTTGGAGACCCTTGGTGACATGGCTCAGAATCGATCACAATGGCGTCGGTGTATACACTCTCTGTCTTCTCTTAAACTAAGAGATTAAGATCACTTCACATCTTTCTTTCTACGAACTAATTCTTTCTTCCTATACTATATCCTTATTGCAATCTTTCTCCTATATATTACCACCTTTGACCTAACCACTCCTATGAATCCAGTGTTCATCTTGCTGTGCTAATGAGGTATGGCAACCTGGGCCGATGCATACATGTGCCTGGTCCTACGTTGTAGCTGACTGACTGACTGACTGACCGCTGGTTTTTATTCTGAACCATCTCTCATAACGTCTCAACCCACTGTGTTGTACCGTCTCTAGGACCCCAATCAGGGAGTTATGAATGACCATCAAAAGTTAATTCTGTACAGCTTTCTTTCATACCACGACACTATATCATGCACTGACCACTTCTCGTTTTCCAATCAGTCTCAGCGTCGACAAATAGTGCCCCCAAATGCTCTGGTACGGCTGAGAGTGGTGAGAATCAGCTTCCCCTCACGAAATGCTCTTACATGACCACTCCTAGGGAAGACCTACTCACTGCCTTCTCGCGGCTGGGGTGTAGTTTACGAGGTTGAGAGGACAAAATGCGAAACTCCGGCGAATTAACTGGGTCAGTGGATATGGAGGATCCACCTAGGGGAGTTGGAAAACCGAAATTCCCAACCAATGTTCCTCATGTGTTCCAGGATCCTGAAGGAACAAATGGTGTATGAACCAATTATTGGTCACAGGCTACCATGGGACTGCATCTGGCGTTGCTTCATTGCCTTGTGGATCAGAGCTTTAGGCCAAAGGCTCCATGTGTGTCCCCCCAAGAAAACCACCTGTTTTGGTTTGGGCACCTGGACGGTATCTCAGCCCTCACACAAATCGAATGATTTATGTTGCGCATATCTATTTTGTGCGTTGTGTCAATGTTTATGTGTTTAAATAAATAAATAGTGCTCGATATGGAATCCGCTGGGACGACATTTTTAGGACATATCCAAGCCACCAAACTCAGTATTGCAATGTGGTAATACCAATTAAATTATCGTCGCTGTTCTTGAATTCATATTGCTGAACCTCTGCAGTACTGATATAGTATTGTCAGTGGACGTCAGCAATCCTTCGGAGACAATGATGACCAGATGTAGAATGTTGTTTAATACCCTCAACTCAGAGAGGCTAGGTTTCATCAGGATAGAGAAAAACTGCTCTCACTGAGTCATTGTCGATCCATTTTTTCACAGACATACTAGTATCACTAAGGCAACAAAGGTGAGTCATATTAGCATAAGTTGCTCTGGTTTTCACTATACGTTAGTTTATCTCATCACTCATCCCACCACAACTGTCAGCCATCTACAATGTAGGACCAGGCACATATATGCATCGGTCCAAATTGCCACCTCATTATCACAACAAGATGATCACCAAATCCATAGTAGTTACATGAATGGTAGTAATATATGACTACCCAGATACATGAACTTTTCAACTACCTCTAACTGGTCGTCGCCAAGAGTGAGTACAAGCACAGGCTTCTGTCAGTCTTATAAAAGTGTTTTCGATTTGGAAGGTGCAAAGTCCATGCTGTACTTACGGACACTGACTAAGTGCGGATTGTGTGGCTAGGGTTTTATCGCACATTAAGACAAAATCATTCGAATACTCAAGGTCTGAGAGTCTTTCTCCAGGCAACAGATTCACACCACCATTACCCATTACTGTAGTATACCGACGTGCTCCAATGAGTTGTAAGGAGCTTGTAGAAATGCAGTGCTTGTAAGTGGGACGTTTCGCGAAGTCGAAAGGGACTTTGCTCTCAGTCTTCGTGGTGTCATGCGACTGCAGCCAATGCTCATCTCTGATTTCCGACGGGTTAATAGCTAGTGTTGAGACTAGCTCGGTTTGAATTTTAGCTGCAAGAGAAGCTGTTACCAATTTGTCGACGTCAACGACGTATGTCATTCAAACTCGCCTTCTCCCTCGTTCTCAAAGTGGTGCAGACTGGACAACAGATTGGGTTGGCTATTTTCTTACAAAATGTCAACATCATCGTCTGTAGTCTATCTAATACCCGTACTAGTTGTTTATTTATTTAAGCACAAACATTGGTACAATGAGACACCAAATATACAAGCGCCACACAAATCATTTTATTTGTGTGAGGGCTGGGATACTGCCTGAGTACCCAGACCGAAGCAGGTAGTTTCTTTATGCAGCCACACTGCGAGCCTTTGACCTAAAGGTCTAGTCCACAAGACCATGGAGCGACGTTAAGAGATGTAGTCCCTCGGTAGCCAATGATCAGCAATAGGTTCATACATCATTTGTTCCCTCAGGATCCTGGAGCCCATTCACACTATTGGTTTTGAATCATGGTTTTCCAACTACCTCAGGTGGATCCTCTATATCCATCAACCCAGTAAAACAGCAAACATTCACATTTCGTCCTCTCAATTTCGCAAACAACACCCCTGCATACAATCACATTTCGGCTAGACGCTACTATCGAGCTGCATCTTCTGAAGTCACGCTACTGTCTTTAGTCAGAACGTTTCCCTGCTTCAGCTTGGTTTTTCAGCGGTATCCTCGTGTACACACAAATGAGATATCAATATACCTTTGCGCTTATAACGAACATTCGGTTTTCAAACGGATGAGTTGGTTTTGATGGAGCTTTGTTCTCTGAGCTGGATGGTTTGGTCGTGGAGCTTTCATCGTTGGTATCAGTTAGTTCATACTTCTAACTTTAGTCAGTTGATGATGTTTAGCGACCATCATTCACTGCTATCGATAACACACCATTATGTAGGCAAGTTCCTCTTGTAATATAGATTACAAATTCAGTAATTTCTATGAACTTTTTTTATACTGATTTTTACAATTGTTACTACATTCTTCTGTATTGTAGGTTGTTCGTTTCTTTCAAACAAGTTATTGGATTTCATTTGTTTGCTAAACGTCTATCAGTAACATCGACATTCTTGCTTCATATTTACGAATGTCTCTAAATTTCCCGATTGAAAATCTCTTTGAATGGGTATATTTTATTGCACTGTACTGTGTAATTTTTTAAAACCTTTTTTTCTTTTCTAGTTGAGAACTTTTAACATAGCAACAAATGTTTATTCTATACATAATGTTACGGATGGGATTGTATTAGGTAAAGTTTTGCATACCATGTAAGTATTATTTTATGTATTACTGATTAGTCACAATAGTGACTGATTTATTGTTTTTGTAGTCCTTCAGTAGTGATTGAATTCTATTGAATAATTCGGAATGTAGCCACTCATTTATGCAACTTTACATTGTGTGCACTATGTTGCGATATCAGGTGACTTAAGGTAGACGGCAGGAAATCCTGAACCTATGTTTCGTGTTAGTTAAAACATTAATAATGAATACCTGTAATTTTTTGAAACTTTCGACCCATGGTATATACAAATTCACACCGCCTATCATTCTCCAGTGGTAATGCCTCAAACCATGGGTCTTGGCGATACGAGTTTGAACTCCATGTGGAGCGCCTGTTCCTTCATAATTGCAAGTATATCTTGCTTCAAAGTGTCAGCTAGCACGAGATTTAGGTCAGGTAGGGTTTGCTACCGACTAGGTTCAACAGTTTAACAGTAGTAATGTATATTTTTATTGTTAATGTAGAAATGACTTTTGATTATTAACACAATTTCCAATAACTGTAAAGCGTCATGAATTCATATTTATTTGGCAGCTTAGTATTTTCGTAACTTTCGAGTCACATTCTATTATAATTACAGAAAAGACAGAATTGTTGCTCAAATGAGAAAAGCTTTTGGTTTTAAGGCATTGTATCTTTGCACATATATACACATGTTTGGTGATCTGGATAATTGACTGTTAACTATAGAACTAAGACGATAGTTTGTGAAGAAATAATGGTATGATTGGGCTAATACAGCCAACCAATAAACGAATAAGAACAGTTATTGATAGGAAAAGTAGTCCAGCTAGAATTACAGCCAAGAAAAAAAATCAGTTAAGGAAGCTCAATTTTTGTGAAAAACGTAATGGTAAGTTTCATTAGTACTATGTCTCAATTCATTGAATTGCACTGTCTCTAGAACCCCGACCATAGAGTCGTTATGGGACAACATGAGCCAGTTTTACACAGCTATATTTGATTCCGTGTAGTCATACTGTGGTGTGAGCTACTTATATTGATATAAGTAGTATATAACGTGCGTTAAAAGAACGTAATGTCCGGCAGCAGAAGATGGCGAAGATCAAGAAAGGAAGAGCAAGAGCACAATGGAATTGTAAGAAAACGCATGTACAATGGAATGGGCGACAATGGATTAGTGTTTGCAACGGGAACAGTACAGTTTGATATGATGGAATGATATTTTGCAAATTGACGATTGACTTTATGGTATTCACATTTTATTGAGATAGTCTGTAATTTTTGTGCTAAATACAATCGATTGTCCCCACCCGTGTTCTTGTTCACTACAATACCATTGACTGACCATTTTTGAGTTTTGACTACTAAGTCCTCGAAGTTCGAAAATGACGTAAATTGTGGAAGGTTCTTAATAATATTCATTAAATATATTATTCAAACCACTGAAGTCAATGTTTTGTAAATGGTGTTATCAGTGTAAATACTGTCACTTTATCCGAATACATATTTTTGGATCTGGATTTCTGTGACAACGATCATTGAATAGAGTGAGTTTCTGAGCATCCTTACATTGAATGAGCCTGGTCTCACTTATATTAAGAGGAGTTAGATGAAATGTTGTGTTGTTGGACGCGTCTTTTACAGCTCGAATAACATCAAGACAACACCAAAGATGTATGAGACTAAAATAAACCCATTCTGGCTTTCCTTATAAACGGAGTAGACTTAGAGTACGTTGTCTTGGAACAACGATTTTTCAAATCTCCTAGATGAAAATCATCTGAATACACCAACCCTGTTTGAAAGCTTGACTGAATTACCTTGATGGACAGCCAAAGGTGTACTGAAACTTTATACGGCCATTTTGAGACCTATGTAGCGACAACGGTCATTGGTGATGTTCAGCGTTTGTTATATTTGATACACTACTGCAGGAGTAAAGTGAATGCAGTCATCGAATGATGTGTTAAGATGAACACTTGTGGTAGTTGTCGGAAAGCTGGAGGAATTTTGAAACGGTTGTTTAGACAATCACATGTAGTCGCTCGAGAAACATTACAAATCTTGTTTAATGCTGTCTTAGGCAAAGACATATAACTAGTGAATGCAGATTGACAAGGCTTTGTAACGTTGATAGGTGTTCAAAGAGACAGCATTGTCTGTTACATAATAATTCACCAGTCAACAGCTCGAATAATAAATCTAGTACGGAGAATTGTTGTGGATTTACTCACTCTGTTGTGAGACAGTTACTCACTGAAGACAATGATGACGGTCGCGTAATATCGTGGATTGGTTGAAGTTAAACATTAACACGGTTGAATCTGGGCTCAGTGGTCTAGAGGTTAATCGTTCGCGTGTGACATCGAAGATTCTGGTTTGAGTCTCATGTGTGAAATCGTGGATGCGCACTGCTAGGGAGTCCCATTCTAGGACGAAACGGCCGTCGAGGGTCTCATTGGTGATCTAGCATCGATCTATTCATTATATCAGTCTAAGTTTTCCATTTGATGAATAATCAATCAACTAGCAATAAATCGTTCCATAATTTTGGAACTGATTACGTTCATCTACTTCTGTCCTAAATAACAGATCGGTTAGTATTAATTTAATCCAAAGACATATCAAGTTCATAATGAACAAATCTTTTTTATTTTCATTGTATTCATCAAATAACTTTGGTTTTTAGTTAACAGAAAACTATTTCTATCAACAATGTTATTATTATCATCATCACAACCATAGTACTGAACTTCCGTTTATTTGTATTTCGGATTATTCTACTACACTTTTACTTGTACGAGCACGCACAAACATTTAATGAAGTTATTAAAAGTATTAATTTAATATTCAGATCACATTCATTATTCATTACAAGTGAACATAGAGTTAATGCTGTATTGATTTTATTTTTGGTAAGCAGTTCACTTGGGCTTTTTTTAAAAAGAAAATTATCATGTCTTCAAATTATCTAGAGTTTCCATAGTTACGTATTGAGTGTATGTGTGTGTGTAACTATGTGAACGTAAAACGTTACAATGACAATTAACATTTATACAGCAGTATACACATATTATTTGTTAAGGTCTTTATAAAATACGGATTAAATTAAAAAGAGACTTGTGAAATGAATGGTTATGCTATATTTAGATTGTGTATAGTAGTAGATCTGCGATGTCAATGTTTAAAGTCGTCGACTTTTAACCTCCAAGCTGCGGATTCAAACCCTACTCTGCGTACATCGGTATAGTTATCAGGGTAGTATCATCAACCCTCACACTTCGGATGTGACTCACACTTAATTTCCAGTTAAAGTTCAGTCTCTAACACTTTGAAAGCCAATACCTTATCCACTAAGCTGCTGAGTCCAGATAGCCACTAGTGTGAATTTATTCGTAATGGTTTATACTTTCCAGATGGTCGAGACTGGAATTAAATGTCAGAACAGCTAAGTGAGTACGTCTCAGACTGTAAAAGTGGATGACTCGTATTAGAGTCACACACGTTTCATCAGTTTCTACAAGGTTAAAAGTATGTCTTGCTGATGAACACCAACTGGCGCGAAATGTTGTTCAAACAGGACTTTCCACCAAGAATCTCTAATTATCTAACATCAAAACATAACGCATACGATGTTGAGTCATTTAGATTAGTGGCTACATCGCATTGAACAAACCTAAAACTGCCGTTACTCAGTGATCAATCAATTTTAATCGGTTGGTCAATGACAGTATTTTTCGTTTTTTTTTTTTTTATAAATGATGTCTCATTCCTATGATCATAAGAATTTCAAATTGTCCTAATTTTTTCTTATATTTTCTGTTTCATTTCAGTGCTCCAAATCATTTCACTGATGAATGGTTGCAAAAATTAAATTATGATGCTGAAATCAATTGGAGGCTGAAGGTGATTTATGTAATTTTTGTGAATGTGTGTATATGCCTTCACAAATTTATTATCGTACGTTTGACTTGGTCGTAGTTGATTGCTACCTTGCCACATGGTGGTTGAACTTGAGTATTGTGATGATCTGATAAAGCTATAATTGGGCCGAATACTTGTTCCTCTAGATCCTACTGTGCTACGCAGAGGTCAATTGGAAAACGTTAAGACTGAAAGCAACAACTTAATGTTCGAGTTCAACGTCGTACTACTGACTGTATTGGGATTTAACCGTAGTGAGGTGTTTTCTTCAGATAACCATAATCTGCAATGATATGTCCTTCTCATAGCGAAAATACCAGGTTAGGAAAAGTCTGCTCTGAGTTTCCGTTACAAGTGTTAAGATCTCACAATGAGTATCAGTCCATAGTGTAAATTGAAAAAAGATTTCCTTGTTGAAATTGTCCATTGTTTTTGTAACAAGTATCCTAGTGGATATATATAGAGATGTTGCGTACTCTGGGCTTGATGGTTCAGTTGTGTTAGCCGCGACAACACAACCCATCGCAACGTCTCAAACCGGTTATTTAGACCGGATTGGACTGTGGTTGAACTATTGGGATTGAGCCTTTGACCAGCAACTGCAGTTGATTTGCGGCTATTTAGGCCAGCAGACACTTTCTCGACCCACAACTTGATGTATCTTGTGATAAATAAAAAGTCAGCTCTCAGCCGAGCGCGGCCTCAGTATATTGTGCAGTCGCAATGTGCATTCAAGATCCCAATGTTCAAGCAACATGCAGTGCACACTAATTCACCCAGTTGGCTGGACTCTTCATCAATATACGTGCCCAGTGATCCACCATTTAAAGTTGTACACCAATAATCATACACATTGGTTTCTCGAGTGTATATAACTAATAGTAAACACTGCAGTCTAGGATATTTACCACTAAGCGGGTTAACTAAACCTGAATTCATTCAACCTTCTGCACTCGTGAAGAGACTGGTGAGCTCACCATTAGTTCTATGCACTTAAGAAACCGATGTGTGAGATTATTATTGTGCAACTTTGAGTGGTGGATCACACAACATCTCCAGCATCGTTATCCTCATCTACAAATATTCCCCATTATTCTTTTTTTCTCCATCCTTTCTCTCTCTAAAGGTCAGTAATCTTAAGAAGATATTGAAAGCTGTTATTGAATTTCTAAATGAGGTTAGTTTGGTAAATAAGATTAATTTCTTTTGCTTTTTTCACGTTTAAAGCACATGGTTATTGTTGATAATGTCTGTGAACAGAGTGTATCATTTTAGTAATATGCTGGAATTAAACAGAAATTTTATAAATCATTTATTCATTGCCAAACAACAGTTTCAGTATGATTTTTACACTCTTAAAATTGTGAAGCTAAGTGGTTCAAGTTGTCACTGTATTGAGCCAATAAAAATAATGATGATACAGGTATACCAAAGCCCATGATCTATGGATGGGATGGTAAGACAAGGCGTGAATGCATCTGCATTATTGAAACCTATTCTGAGATATTTCATTGTTGTCTGTTCCAGCAGTTTGATTTTGTGACTAATGCACACTTGGTCAATCACTTATTTATAGTGATAAAATAAGTGTGCAAAAGAAACTGTGCTGCCAAGGCTTAATAATAATGCATTAAAGTCAGTTGATCTAGTCAAAAAAATGTGGGTCGTGATGTTGGATAGGTGAGTAATTCACTTACAATACTCACTCCGAACTTTTATCTATCATCTACCATATTGTCTTCAGATAGCATATGACCAGTCACCTAAGGTCTGTAACCGGGTCATCTGGGTTTACGTCACTGCTTAGTTCATTAGGCAATGATTTCACTAACTGATGCTACACTTTTATCTGACCGTCCCTTACTTTCTTCAAACTTACTCCTATGTCAGCCAACATTGCTTCTCAAAGTACGCAGAGTGGTTAAGGGTATATAACACGTGTCCAGGTATCTCTGCTAATGAAGATTCATAGCCTCGTCAGTCAATTTACTATACTTAAGTTGTAACTTATGCCTGAATTCAATCTGTTCGACAACGCACGAGTAATTCTTTGAAGACACCTATGGTCACATACTTTCAGCGTAAGTATGTCTTCTACCTTCGTATGCCATGATTCACAAATACAAAGTAATACACATTAGATTACTGCACAAACTGCTTTTCATTTGGCAGATGAACATCTCGCTCACATCGCCGGTAATAAACGATGGTCAAAGGCATTCTAGTCTAATTTTGGTGTGGTATGCAATCCTGAGGTGTTGTCCCATATTCAAAGGAAATAAGTGTCCAATGTTCCGCTTGACTTTCAGTGATATCGCAACTGAGGTCAACCTATAGTGTGAATACCAGATTCATATTTTCTTTCAACTTTATTACGTAACAGTGTCTGTATAGTCTATTGATTGATCTTTCTTTCCTCTCAATTTGTAATATTTTCTAATCTATACTTTACTTAATGGTAATGGTCAACAAAATTTAATGAAGAGAAAAAATCATTATAAATACAGCCGTAATTATAAACTGACTACCGATCTAGCTTTTCTTCGTCTGTTTTATTACATCATCTTAAATGATTAACTTTCCCCGAAAACCAAACATTACATACTACCTTTGTGTTGTACTGATGAATAAGTACTACGTCACCACAATCAGAACTTTGCAATTAAATCAATCTAGCTCAAAAAGTACTACACTTTGTAAAATCATCCATTTGAACTGCAATTGTTCTCTATCATTTTTCTATGATGTAATGTCATACTTAGTTTCATTAGCCAATAGTTCTATCTTACCACTGACTATTCAGCTGGAGTTCACATTATCTATTCCTTAAATAAATTATTCATGTGCGATGTGTGACGTTCCATGCATTGATCATATTGGAAAATAGTTGATCTTCAAAGATAAAAAAAAATTATTCTTTATACAACTGCTCACTTGTTAAATAATATAACTTCACTTTGTGCAATAATATTCATGTTTAATGGCTAGTAATGACTTGACACAATGTTGATCATCATCCAATTGAAAGAGATTGAATCAAAGTTCAAGTTTATATAAAATACTGTTTGAAAATAAAGTTCTAAGTTATTTATCATCTTATCTATTTATGTAATTCAACATTGTACATTTTTCATTATATGCCTTTTTGTTGTTGTTGAAAACAATACAACATATCCATACAGGGAATTGAAGATAGGATATCTGTTCAATGCCTTCCAAATCTACAAGAAATTGGTAAGTTGAATTTTTTTTTACTTTTTATGTGTATAAAATTTTCTGTTAGTCGATTGTATAGTTTTCATTCCTATTTCTCTCTTTCTAAAACAAATATCATATTGTGATAATTAGATGTATTTAAATTATAGTATGAAATAGAAATCTTAGAAATAACATAATCGGACCATGAAGTAATAGATAACCATAAACGAATGTACTGCACTTAGAATTCGAAATCAAGCATTCAACAAGTACAAAAAAATCATCAGTTCATTGAAACACCACATCCGCCATAGCTTAAATTAGAGTCTAAGTGTCTGTAATCGATTATACATCTTCTTCTTCTTTAGTTTGTCCTGTGTCTGTCCGACATTGTATTGGATAAAAACTCTGTATTATCTAGAATGTGCTCATTAGTATTCGAATTAACAACCGAAATCGGAACAGATTCAATTGGTTCCTGGGATTGTATACAATCGTCGTGTCGGTTGTGTACCGAAACCACTATTTAGAATTTAAAGCACAGATTTCCCAATACTATCCTCCTTTGCGAAATAATGTTGGATCTTCATATCCTCAAGTTACGAATGATGTGGTTTCATTTAAAACACATTTCTCACATTGATTAGAGTAAACATTAGAAGTGTTTTTGTGATAAGGAAAAACAGTAGTTGATATGAAATCATCCGAATTGTAATCAAGATCGAGGTCATTTAGTACTTGTGCTTCCCATTGAACAAGTTTCCCACAAGAAACATATGCATTATGAGGAGAAATAATATTTGATAGAACAACAAGCTTTGACTCTTCTGAAATAGTTTCCTCGAATTTATTAAGAATGTCATTGCAGAGTAATGAATCATTAGAAAAATCAGCATCTATCAAGACTGCATCAGGTTTTCGACCATGAGTTGGTTCACTAAACATATTTTCCTCAGACGTGCAAGGAATTTCGTCAGAAATATGTGAGTCATTAGGAAAAACCATATCTGGTACAATAACATGAGAAATCTGATAGGTTGATTGATTAGAAACCGTTGTCTCGCAGGAATTCTGAGTTTCATTTAACTCTGAACTGCTATGTAACTCTACACTGTCTATTGCAATCGTTGATAAAGATAAATCATCATTATAAATACTCGACTTAGTAGAATCAGAATTACAAGACTTAATATTAGTTGCAATAAGATTAACATTAGTATAACAAATTGACTGAATATGTCCAATATCACCACATTTAAAGCACTTAAAATTACGAAATTTACGTGAATTAAAAGAGTGGAACTTGCCACAGGACAAACATTGACCAAACCTGTGTCCATCTTCGTGAACTGCATCGCAACTCCTGAATGAATTATCTGCATAACCTTGAATATGCACTGGGTTGAGATGACGTAGTAACGCAGTGGAATTTTTTATATCCTCATGAATCATTTTACAAAATCTTCCTTTTTTACCGCATTCGAAATTTGTATACTTAACATAGTCTAGCAGTAGATCCTTCAGAGTTGTATAAGAAAGCGAAATGGGCTTTTAAGGTAAAGCCAGAGTTTTTAATAAGCCGATGAATGTGAGGAAATGTGCTACAATATTAACATCCTCATCATCTGCCTTGGTCATAGCCCGAATTTCGAACCTTTCAAGGTAATCCTTAAAAGTGTCAAGATCTGAATGTATATCCAACAATTCCATCACAAGCTCCATCGCGACGCCAATGTGATAATTACGAGTATTTGAATTATAGTATGAACTAAGAATCCCAGAGATAACGTAATCCAATCAAATACTAGATAACCACAAACGAATGTACTGCACTTCGAATTCGAAATCAAGTATTCAACAAGTACAAAAGAATCATCAGTTCATTCAAACACCACACATATCATATGATTTTCAGTAAAGTGCCTCCTTAAAACAATATTTTTCAATAATTATATATATATATATATATAAAGTAATCTTAGTGGAGTTTTGTTCTCTGATCCGGACCATTTAATCGTGAAGCTTTCATTGTCTTTCCAGACGAAATCATCATCTTCATCACAAACTTCAGACAAAAGTGAGCTATAAAAATCTTCCTACAATTGAATAACATCTTATGTTGTCGATATAAGTTTGATCGGATTTTTTAACCAAGTAAAAAAGATCATGAACAACTTCCAGAAAGCTGAAAATCGGGTGAACGAGAAACTTAATCAAAATAAGTATATGAACGATAACAGGACACAATAGTCCTCAATAACCAGTAAAGATCTAGGTCAACAGAACCAGCTGTCAGTCATGTTTGAAGAAATATGAATAGCTCGTTGTGTTGTGAAGAGAAGAAAAACAATGAAGTGACAAACAATCCAAGATTTCTTTTAGGCATTATCTGACTTAATTCGTAATCTTTGAACTACTAACATATAAATGTATCTACCTTACTCTATAATTCAGATGCTTTCGACTAATCTATAACTTACTGTCATACTCTCTTCTATTCCAAAGTTAATGTAATTCAAACGTGATCATTGTATTAAATTTTCGTACTGTAATAGTCTCGGTTAATATAATTGTATTCATTGTGTGTTGCGATCTCGTTAGTCCTACATTTTCGTGTTGGATGAGTCAGATAAAGTATTCTACTAATAAATCATCAAGTTGTCAGTGATACGGTAGCTTTTTCCTCTCTCCTCTCAAGGCCGATCATTCACAAGTCAAACGTACGCTATTCAGTCTTCAACATACCAAGTAACGTAGCACAATAAGCCGTTAACTAGTTCGAGACAACTTCTCTTTCTGCATATCCATGTACGAACTAGTGGGGAAGATAAGATAACAGTACCATCACATTCGTGCTGTCTATGATGTTGTTCAGAAGGACAATAAAATATTTCATAATTACATTCACACTGCTCAGAGAACGAAACTCCACCAAAATAATTCACATGAACTGCAAATTTCCACTCAACATTGAAATAATGTTATGGAAAAATAATCAATATACCCCTATATTGGAAAGCTTTGTATCGGTAAAGGATATTCCCGTATATACTCATATGGAGTGAAAACAATTGACTACTATAGACTGTCATCTAATATTACGTAGTTCATTTTCAATTTTTGTTTGTTTGAAGTTTTGCTACATAACTGATCTGTAACTCGTTACTAGTCTGGTTAACTCCGCACGGAACACTCAGTTAACAATCGTTTAACCAGATTCCATGATAAATTTAAACAGACCAAGAACGACAAGGTTTGCAGAGTAAGATAAATTCATTTTATTTTGCAAATTGTGTTGTTCTTACATGGAAATCGACTCAATGTCTTGAGAAGTGTTGATCTTGAAAAAATATACTTTGAAAAGTGATGGGCTTAACCTCACCCGTGGGGCGGAGAAACGCTCATATGTATTTATCTGACTATAACAATTTTATTATGTTTTATCCTGATCATTTTGCTCATAAGTAGTTAACGGTTTGCTGCTGTCGTATCGTCATGATGACACAGAAGTTGAATGGAATATTACTCTTGGAGAATCATTATATTACTGATTCATGTAATTAGTAATGTGATGTGGATTAAGTCGATTTTTCCATTAGTGTTCCAACAATCTTGTTGATAATAATGACATAATTTTGTGTGCTTTTATCTCAAGCTGAACATGAAAATGAAGAGTCGACATTTCGTTTATTACAATTAATACTTGCATGCGCTGTAAATTGTGATAATAAACAAACTTATATTCAAACAATTATGGGGATGGAAGAAACTGTGCAACAAGCTATAATGGAAGCGATTCAACAAGTATGTGTGTTAATGTTATTCATTGCTTTGAAAAAAATTTATATATGAACTTTATTTCGTCTTATTTTGGTTTCCCACCAAGTAATAGAGTGTACATGTGTTGATTGTGTTCGATAGAAAGCTTAATTCTAGTATATTGGTCTTTTTCAAGACTCCAGTAATATCGCGTATATTCTATTCACGGACGATTGAGGATCCCTCTAGTAAGAGTCAACCAATAAGATCTCTAATAGACTGAATGTCTGTCTCATAACACTTCAACGTTCATAGTCAACACTCATATAATGAAGATGGAACTTTCAGAATAACCTTGTATTCCGTACAGAAGTCGTAAATCGGAAAAGGAACAACTCTGTTTTTTATCGTAACATTAAAATCCATAGCATTAATCTGATAACAACAAATGATTTTGTGGAGATTTGAATCAAGTCATTTACATCGAGTCTGTCCTTTAAAGAAAGATGCAACGTTTTATGATAACATGAGTAATAACTTGAACTGTCTTTAGTAAGAAAAAGACGATACGGAAATCATTATTCATAGAAGTAAGATAACGATGTAGAACATTTAATGAGTGTATAGATGATTAAAATTAACTGAAGTTAGAGAGTTTAAGCATAGTTTTATTATATTAATTGGCATAAGTGGACAATCATATCTAATCAGAGAGATATCGTTGATATTGAATATTATTGAACTCACATGGTATTGTTTGCTTGAATCTTCCCTTTTGAGGTTTAAGACTGCAATTGATCAGTCTGTTATTGGCATATGTGCATACTGCCTCGATATTGCCGTAATTCACAAGCATTATAAGCGAAGATGGATAATGACTAGCAGTGGAATGGGGTACGCGCGTTTCGTCCTATTTGGGACTCGTCAGCTGGATGCACCTTCATCTTAGTTGATGTTCACTCTGGGACTCGAACCCAGTACCATTCGCTTTAAACGCCACCGAGTTATCCACTCAGCTACTGAGTCTTGATAGCCCCTTGTTTGTGCAATAGGGTGAATTTAAATTCACTTGGTATTGTTTTCACGCCAAAAGCACCCACTTTCACATTCATGTTGTATTTTTCACTTGAGAGGATCTTGAATGCTATTGGTTCGTTGTCGCTTTTGTTATACTATTTTGTAAAGTTCACCAAGGACATTTGTATGCTGTATATGTACACTTGAGTTGTGCTTGTTGTTGCTCGTGCTTCTGGCTGCTTGTGGAATACATTTCTCTCTTCTGAGCCTGGACTTATCTCACGGAAACCTAATCTTTAGACACAAGTTTTTGGATATGTTAACGGGATCTTTGATTCTAACTAATGTGTTTCTTAGAGTGTAGAAAAATCTAATTTTGTAATTTTTCAAGATCCGTTGTAATTCTTCAGTCGTACGTTGGCTGTGAGGTAAAACCATAGTACCGATCCAGGATTTTTCACTAAGATTATTATTTGAAGAAGGATAGTTTTCTTTAAATATGTTTTTGTTATATCTTAAAGGCTGATTTCTTGATATACTGCGTATAACAGAGCACTAGAACACCAAAACCCTTCCAAGTCGCAGTAAGAAGACAGAAAACTAACGAAAGGAATATTATTCCAAATAGTGTCGATTATAGTACAAAATTGTCAGGTATTTATAGTTTTTAGTAAGAACGAAATCATCATTACAGTCCACCGATCCGCGTACATGGGATTATTAGCATTGACCAATCAGGAGGCTACACGTTGAATTCTAGAATATTCTTCTGAACGGTGATTGGATGGGATATCTGCAGCTCCTTCTGAGCCTCCTACAGCTTCCTCGAGCTCACCCGTGGTCCGTCGTCACACCCCCTTTTAAAGTCTGTTGAGTAAGACTTCTTTCTCGGATCCACCTAACAGTATGCTGCCGGCCAGAGAGAAAAATAAACCCCCGAATGAATATCGTACGGTCACTCGTAGCTTCCAGGTGGGTGAAATGGTACTCGTCAGATCGTATCAAGGTAATAGGAAGTGGGATACAGGTGTCATAGAACGTCGTCACAAAAAGCTTGACCGCAGTGCCCAAGGGGTAACTGCTTGAGGTCGGTCACACACGACCTTTTTGTGAGCAATTTTCGTGTTAGCTCCGTACTTGTTGAGATCTCACCACCGGAGACGGATATCCGTGGGGTAAGGCGAGGTGTGTATTTTTAGGATCGACTTTTTCTAACACCACCCCTTCTTGTGGAAAGGCAGCATCACTGTTATGCCGGTTATCTGAAGGAAACACCCTACTGCTGTCACATCTCTGTACAGTGAGCAGTACGACTTCACCTTCGGACCTTGGGTTTGTTGCTTTTAGTCTTACCGCTCTTCAAACGACCTGTCTGACATGGTAGGACATTGAGGAACGGTTGTTCCAGCCAGTATAGCTCGGTTGCTTCATCACGATAGGCTGGCTAGACCACCACGTCAAGGTAGCTACAACGGTCGGGAATGAGAATATGGTATGGCAGCTTGACCGATGTATATATTTTACGTGGTCCTACATCGTAGCTGACTGACTAACCGAGTTTTCACAAACAACTGTCTACATTATCATATTCATGGAAAAAAATAGTCCAAAGTCTCCAACCACATTGATCGCGGTTGTCATGTGAATACAAACTAGAAAGTTTATATCGACCAACATGACTCAATGTCATCGTGGTCTGATGGCATATTCTTGTTTGATCATATTTAGTTTACTATTAACATAATCCTATGCTAGAAAATATCTCATTTAGAGGTAGATGGTTGTTCAGGATAAATTATATGTATATCGGAAACATCTCAGTCTATGAAAATACTCAACTCTATGAACTGAATCCGCCATATTTTCTTACTTCTCTTGAAATGGACCAAGATTTTTCTTAGAAATAATAAGTAAAGATCATATGAATGAAATTCTTATTTCATTTTACATTAGTTCCCGGTCAATACATTTTCACTTGTATACTCTGTTCCCATAAAAGTTAATTTAATTGCCCTTTTTAAATTAGAGTTTGTTTCAAATCATAATCATTCTTGTCATATACTACTTATTTCATGTATATGGGCACGTATGTGTGTGTCTATCATTCAGTTCTTATATGTTCCAACATACATGTCACTAGTACATGTCTACCCCATATATTATCTGTGTGTTCCTAGTCATGTGATATGTGCATACCTCAGTAGGTATGTGCACACGTGTACTACGTATTGTGTTTACTTTTCTATTGTGTTCTATTTTCTTTGTATATGTGTGTTTCTGCACTCTCTATCGATTTGACCTGAATTTATTGTTTTTTTTTGAAAAAGAAAAGTAATTTGAGTACTCTTTCTTTCTGTGAAGTATACAGACACACACACACATACACACACGCTCACAAATATATATTTATATATGTATTACAACTCTGATGAAGAGATCGTCGATTGGTATTTGTAAATTCTTTACTTTACAATCATCATCGTCAGTTGTTTTGAATAGTTAAAATTGTTTACTTCCCTTTCTTCATCGGATGAAAGGTATTCAATTCTGAAAGTTGCTTCATTGTTTACTGGATAGTATACTTATGTATTATTATTATTATTATTATTATTATTATTGATTTGATCATTTCTTTTCATTGATTATGCTCCTGATTATAAATGTATGTTCCTTACACAATAATCTTTGTTACCATTACATATTACTATTATTAACATTCTATATGGATAGATGAATTCAATAGAGGATCGTTTTGATTTGATTTCTTCTTTATCCTTATTTCTATTCTTTTGTTATAATGATTTAGTTAATGTCAACTCGTTTAAATATGAGTGATACTATGGATTATGAAGATCGTGTAAGTCTTAGTTGGAAATTTTGTTGTATCCATGCCTATTTTTTTATTATGTTTTTCTTTTTGTGTTTTATGGATATAAATTCATAAACATTCCGACTAGCTAGTAGCGTGTTTCATCTTGTTTAGAACTTGCTCATTGATTGTATCTGGGTTCTAGTGTTAAAGTTTACATTGAAACTTGAATTAAACACCTTTCATTTGAAACACACTTATACATTATCTACTATACCGCTTCATTCATATAAGAATGATTACTTTATTAAGGTGTTTATATTCTCTAGTTGTTGATGTTGAGTGCTTCAATCGATTAGTTTATGTTGTTATAAATGGACTGGTCCGATTAAAGTTGTGAATATGAACAATGGAAAATTACAAATCGTTATTTACAAACTAAGTATTAGAATTTAAACCAGTACACTACAAGATGTGAAACATTTTTATATTGTACTTTCTTTGTATAGAAATCTTAAGTTTAATGATGCATGATTGTTTTTTATCTGAATTATGAGGCTCGTTCTTAGAAATGAAGATAACATTCATTGTCTTTAAAGTTGAAACAATGGACTGTTTCTTTTTGACACATAAATTGTGTGTGATATTTGGTTTTAAATGCATAAATTCGATTGTATATTTGACTTCAAAGTTACTGCTTAGTTCAGCGAGATGTGGTTTCAAACTAACTTGCTCCTTTTTTTTTTAAACACTCATTTATTGTCAGTATATGGTTGTTGAAACTGTCGAATATTATTGCTATCACTAACCAATCTAAGTTAGACAAGCATTGAAAGTCTGGAACCATTACATAGCCATTTCATCCGCCTCAGCAACACCTAACGCGAACATCTTTACAAATACATTATTCATGCTTAATTTATTATTACTATTGTTTTAAGAAATTTGCCAACTAGTCCGTCAACTTTCCATGAGTGTTTTTAGGCAGTTCTAGAGACGTGATGAAAGTTCCATTATCCATGTCATTAAACATAGCCTCCAGTCGCAACTAATCGGTATATAATGTGTGTAGTTGCTTCACTGTTTAAGTATTTTATTCACTAGTACAAAATTAATTTGTTCGTGATGTATACTTAGTAGCTGTATGGAATGAATTCATTGAATAAAACTAAGCAGGCGTCGTATTCAGCGCTGCAACTTATAATTAATTACTTCCATAATCCATTCTGTTCTGAGAACGCGTCCACCATCTGTCTTACTGGATAGCGATTAGCCACAAAAGGAAGACGTAGCAATGATCCGAAAAAGTGTATTTTTTTAAAAAAAACTAGGAAATAAGTATTATTTAGCCTGAGGTAGTATTGAACAATATCTAAAACATAAAGAAAAATCAATATATTTCAGCGGTGCCCACTGATCTGATCCTGTCTCGCTCTAACTACGAAGAAGAGCGAAGGCAGCTTAAATGTAGACTGATATAAAGTCTACAACAATCATGAACAGTGGTTGGTAGTGGAAGAAAAAGAGTTGATGTTGTTACTGTGTTAGACAACTCGAATTTTATGGAGGACTGAATAGGGTATGAAATCACCTTCTGATTATCGGTGTTTGACGTCGTATTTCAGTAAAAAATAATCTTTATTCGGTTATTACAAACAACTTAGGTAATCATAAAGACCAAACAACTATTCTGGGCTTCCTGAGATAAACTCCTTATATCTTGAGATTACTAGTACTACTCAGAGTTACTTACCTCTTGAACCGTTAAAAATTAGTGGGCACTGGAAAGTTATTTCATCCTAGTTTGTGACTTCTCAACTAGTCCTACTGACCAGTTTTTCAGGGATCAAACCCACAAAGATCGGGTCTTGCGACTGGTGTATCACTTTGAACTCACCCTGCTTCATCTTTGCAAGATTTCTTATTTCCGACGTAGTTGGTCTTATGAATTTTGACTGGTATTTCAAACTTATGCTCTAGTGAGCGTATTATTGACATGTTAAACAGTTATATTGCATAAGACAATCTCTACATACAATGTAAGTTATTTTAATAGCTTTGAGTTTCCAGGAACCTCCAAAAAGTGATGATAAACTATAATATGTGACCAATCACAATAAAGGAAGAATATATTAAGAGTTGACTCTATTGGATTAATTAAGTCTCATTATTCGTAAAGCAATCATCAATCAAAATTATTTACTGTTCTAAATATTTCAAATCTATTGCAGTTATGTAAGACAGTGGAACAATGCAAAGCATTATTAATAGAAAAAGAGAAATTGGCTGAACAGTGTAAAAATCTTCAGCAAGAAGTAAGTCAGTGTTTATTCTTACGTCTCTGGTGGTTTATGAATTATCTAATATCTTGCCATTGATTGATATCTGTTAATAGAGAACTACTAAAAGTCGACTTGCATTGGATAATACTTTTTTTAATCGTTCACGTTAACAGTACTTACATATGATATTTTTCCTCCCAAATGCCCTGGCACGGTCGAAGGTTGAGGGAATCAGATCACCCTCTCGAAATGCTCTCACATATCCACACGTTACACATCCACGGTAAAGGAAGTTCTGATCACTGGCTTCTCGTGGTGTGGGTGTTCTTTACAAACTTGACAGGCCGAGAAGCGAATGTCTGGCGCTTTAACCTGGTTAGTGGACACGGAAGTTCCACCTAGAGGAGTTGAATAACTCTGCTTTCAAACCAGCAGTAGACATGGGCTCCAGGACCCTGAAGGAACAAATGACGTATGAACCTATTGTTGGTCACCAGCTACAACATAACTGGATCTCTTAAGGTTGCTCCACTGCTTTGCCATATTATGTTAACTACGCCAAGTTGAAATTATCAAAATCCACACCAGAGTTTTAGAATTAGTAACGGTAATAGTCGTAGTAAAAAGGATCCAGTATAGACCTCGTGACCCGTAAAGAAAGAATTCATTTGTACAAGAAAATGTATAAGATAATTTTAAAACTAAAAATCTAAAGGGAAAACATCATATAAATGTGTCTGTACCATTGGAATCCATTTGGATCTACTTTATCAAACATCTCCAATCATTGATCACAACAATCACATAAACTCTAACCTTTTAGCCTACACTTACCTAAACGACTCAAATCAATAGTAATTTCTTCATGGACTGATACCATATCATAGTTTGGTTATTCAAATGATTTTTCCAATATACTCCAACTTCATACAACATTTTGAATTGAGTTAAAGGATGGCTCGGCGATAAAGTCATTAAGTTACTTACGTCTGTTACCCCCAATGTAGCATAGGCTGTCGATTAGCATTCTCCAACCCACTCTGTCCATGGGCCTTCCTTTCTAATTCTATCCAATTGTTGTTCATACTTCTCAAGTCTGTCTCCATTTCTCGACGTAATGTGTTCTTTGGTCTTCCTCTTCTCCTTTGTTTTGCCTTGATGGTTTCAGGTGAGGGCTTGTCTTGTGACGTAGTTGGGTGCTTTCCTCAGTGTGTCCTATTCACTTCCAAAGCTTCTTTGTGATTTCTTCCTCCACTGGAATCTGGTTTGTTCTCTCCCATAGTAGGTTGTTGCTAATAGTGTCTGGCCAACGGATCCGAAGTATTTCGCGTCGACGAGCGGTAATATACACTTATATCTTCTGGATGATTGCTTTCGTAGTTCTGCAAGTTTTCACTCTATACGGTAGAACTGTCTTGACATTTGTGTTGAAAATTGTGACTTTGGTGTTGGTATACATTATTTTTGAGCTCCAGATGCTCTTCAGTTGTAGATATGCTGCTCTTGCTTTGACGATCCGCACCTTCACATCTGCATCAGATCCACTGTGTTCATCAATGATACTGCCCAGATATTTAAAGGTTTTCACATCATTCAGAGCTGCTCCGTCAAGTGTGATTCGATTGATGCATACTGTGTTGTGTCGATGAATCTTGCTTTTTCCTATGTGTTTGTTGAGACTTACTGCTGCTGAACTGTCGCTACACCTGTCGTCTCCTGTATTTATTGTTGCGTGTGCGACAGAAGAGCCAGATCATCTTCGAAGTCTAGATCTTCCAGCTACATCCTAGCTATCCATCGTAACCCTTGTTTCCTCCCATGTGTTGACGTTTTCATGATGCAGTCAATCACCAAAGGAAGAGAAAGGGTGAGAGTAAGCAACCTTGTCTGACACCCGTCTTTACTTTGAACAAGTCTGTCAGCTGTCCTCGATGCACGATTTTGCAGTGTAATCCATCATAGCAATTCCGTATGATATTGACTATCTTCTCAGGCACTCCGTAGTGTCGAAGAAGTTTCCATAGTGTTGTTCTGTCCAAATGCTTTTTCGTAGTCAATGAAGTTGATGTAGTGTGATGAATTCCATTCAATTGATTGTTCCACAATGATCCGTAGAGTTGCGTTTTGGTCTGTAAACGATCTGTTTTTACGGAATCCTGCATGTTGGTCTCGAAGTTGGGGCGTCTACGGAGTCCGCCCCGTTGTCCAGTGCTTCTTGATTTTAATTTCATCTTGGCAACCAGCGAGTGATAATCTGATGCTATATCGGCTCCTCGCTTGATTCTCACGTCCTCCATCGTCCTTGTGAACTTTTTATTGAATCAGATATGGTCGATTTGGTTCTGTGTAGTGTGATCCGGTGAGATCCATGTGGCTTTGTGTACGCGTTGGTGTAGGAATATAGTGCCCATAAAGTCGACAACTATTTCATTAATGAACTTACCATCTTTATATTATTAAATTTTTTTTTATTACTATTATTATCAGGTATTAAATTTACAAGATGAAAAGTCCCATCAACAATCTGAATTGAATCGTTTTAAAACTTATTTCAATTCATTGGGTTTAAATCCAGCGATATTGGCAACAACATCAATTAATTCTCAATCATCTCCAACATCTTCAGTAGTTACAGCTACAACAGGAGTTGAATCAATTGAAAGTGATTAAATTCAATCAATACAGAACTGTTAAATCAATCTGCTAGTTCCATTTCTGCAATTACTTGTAGTAATAATGTTCTAATGAGTCCAACTATAGCTAATTTACGCATAAATCATTTACAAAATCAATTAAGTAAATTACGTGATGAATTGTATAGAACTGAGTGTGGTAAGATTTGTTTGTTGCTTTTCTGATTCTTTATCTCTTTCACTTGCTCTCTGTTCTTTAGTTGTTTATGTTTCATATAAATGATTTAATTTTCCTTTGAATAATCATCAGTATAGAGTTGTGCATATAGTTGAGCTTCGATTGATATCATGAATGGATCAATGTTAGATCACTATTGAAACATTAGATGACCGTTTCATCCTGGTATGGGACTTCTCAGTAGTGCTCACCAACGATTCTACATGTGTAACTCAACCGTGGGACCTTCGGTCTCGTTCGCGAACGCTTAACCTCTAGACCACTGAGCCGGCATCCAATGGTGTTAATGTTTAACTTCAACCAATCTACGATATTGCGCAGCCGTCCACCATTGACTTCACAACAGACACGGCTGAACTCCACTGGTCATGACTTCTCATTAGAACTACAGGAAATCCATCTTGAGGCTAGTTGGAGTAATCGTAATTAATGATTAGTGCGCGGGAAATTGTAATGATTGTGGAATCTTATAGTTTCTTCATCAATGTTTGTCTCTTGTTGGATATAACCACTGAAAACCATATTGCATTAGAAAGCTGCTTCATCTTAGTTTACGACTACTCAACGTGTGCATTTTCACGAGAACATTAGAGATTAAATCTTAAAACTCCAGGTCTCGACGGATGGAAGTATTGAACCTTAGAACTCCTGGTGTTGAATCCAGTGCTTTGAATATTTACGTCTGTCATTTCGCGATAAAGCGTATATTGTTGTCTGTTTTTAGCTGAAATGAAAACCTTAGGTAAATGACTGTTTCTGACTTAACAGTATCAATCAACAAGTTTTTTTCTCACAGTAGGTTGTTTTTGCTTCCAAATAGTTCAACCAATCATATGATACTGTCGAAACAGCGAAGAATTTATACGCCTGTGGAATTCGTTCTACCCGCCAGCTACTGTTATCTTACGGGTATCTTTTTTTTGAGAATTTTTAGGATGACGGTTTGTGGAAATTGTACTCCTATATAACCTGTAGGTCTCTGGGAAGATTGTGAACACTCACTTCTAACAAATGCCATATTAAGATATGACAGTTGTATAGTGTATCCTGTTTCTTAAAGGTTGTTCAACCTAAGTTCCCTTCTACTTGTACTGTAGTGAACGAAGATTCAGGAAAGGAAACCCAATTAATTCCTTCTTATGTGGTCTTACTCAAAGTAAAATAACTACCTTTGTAAAATATGAAAATCGTGCATTATGTACATCATTTGTATATCTTCCTTCAGTTGCCCTTTGCATACTCATTGTTCTTCCAATCCAGTCGTTATTTCGATTGTTTTCTGTTTTCTTTCCTCTTCTGTTCATTCCAATCTCCTATTGATATTTTATTTTCCATTTTTGCCTTGTACTACTTATATATGTCCATATAAGTAGTGCACACCATGATCCAATTTATAACACGAATAATTCATTGAAATGGAGGGCATGGTTTGTAGTTCATGTAGATGATTTTAGTGGAATTGTGTTCTCTGAGCATTATAGTTTAATCGTGAAATCTTCATTAAATTTCCAAACGAAATCAGTACAATCTTCATATGCCAGTGAACTATTCAAATCTCCTCGTATGTGACAAACAGTTTGTTCTGTCAACTTTCCACTGTAATCTTTCTTGTAGTTTTGGAGCAGTTTATCTTTGTAAAGAAAAAATATGTTCAGTCAAATCGTAAACAACTATAAAACTTAGAATCAGATCAAATAAACAAGATAATCAAAATAAAATGTATGAACAATGAAAGGACATTGATCGAAAATAGTAAACATCAATCGAAGTTAGTATTGACAAAAGAAGATGCTTGTAGTCAATTGTAATGAAATTTATCCAGCTTATTTTTTTAATTTTATGCTGATAATGATGTTATTATCTAAAAAGTCAGTAAATGGGACTCAACTCATGAACCGATCTTTGTCAGATCACTATAGGAAACTGGGAAGTATTGAAAGGCTGTTTCGTTCTAGTATTAAACCCCTCAACTGTGTTGTCCTCGACCCAATACTCAAGACCAAGGGTGCTGGGTCCTATTCCCGCGTAGGAGTTAAATATCAGGCCACTCAGCGCTACCAGGCCTTCAATGGCAATTCAACTTAGATCGGTTCATAATTTCAATGAATTTCAATAATTTCCTCAACTTTTTACTGAAAGTTTCGATGTCTAATCTTTTCTATTGTCATTAATATACTGTTTATTACCTCTACTACTCTGTTATGTGATCTGGAAATTTCATATCACTGTACTTATCCGCGTTATGGTAATTGAGATCTATTTACACACTTGTGTCAGTTTGGTGTGTGCTACTTATACGAACAGTAGTAGTATGTAACAGAAATTGAAAATGATATGTATATCAGTAGATGATTGGAATAAAGTGAAGAGCAAAGAAAAAAGAAGGCAATTGGAATAACAACTGGATTGGAAAAGTGATGGAATATGTAAAGGACAACTGAAGGAGGAAGATATTCAAATAATGTATTTAATGCACGTTTTTTATATTTTACAAACATACTTTTTGACTTTGAGTAAAACTACGTAAAAAGGGTTAAATTGATTTTCCCGTCTTGGGTTCTTGTTCACTGCACCTGATTCGATGTATATAGGACTGATCTACTTACTATTAAACCATCCAGTTAAAGTAACGCTACTTAACCGTAATAAGATATTCATTATTTTTATCACATATTCTATTCCTTGGGCTTAATAGTCACTTAATGGTTGTTTTCTTTACTTCATTTTTACGTCTTTTTTTGCTCTATTTTTACAAAATAATGATTTAGATAAAGAAGAATTAAAAATTCAATTAACCGAAGTCACTGCACAAAATCTTGAATTAAAACAAAAAGTAGGTAAATAATAGTTATTAATGTTCAACTTTTATTGAATTTAAACTGTTTTGACGCGCTTACTCTGCATTGATCTGAGAGTTATACACTTGGTACCTGCTAGTTTTTTGTGAGTTAGTGTATGTGATGTTCATATTCACTGCGATTGAGTAGTCCTTTGTCAAGATGTAACAGTCTTTTACTGTTTCCTGATCTACATTGAATGTTTACCTATGGTTGATAGTTATATTACCATTATGAATTTGTCGACTTCTTTTAAATAAACGACATGAAAACTCATAATAGAATATAAATTCGGTCATCCAGTGTCAAGAAGATAAAGAGAGATATGCATGTGAGTTTGTGTTGATAACACATGTTCCCAGTGTCGAATATCTTGATAACACTGACTAGTTGGAACAAATAATGATTATGTATGTATGCAGTTTGATAGCTATCCAATTAGAGTAACACAAGATACAACTGGTGTATCACGTGTATATTTGTTGGATCCACTAATCTGTAGTTACATTTTATGGCGCATATATACATATACTTGACAGTTGATCATATCCCCTTCATTCTTGTAAATTACCATGATCTTCTTAAGTATCAATACTGTCATGATTACTCCTAATAAAATGTATGTTTAATAAAACAAAAAATTATATATAACTACAACAATAATTTAGCGGTAATTTTGACTTAGTCAATCAGTAGATAATGCAATAGTTTGTCAAATGAAAGATACTGGATTTGAGCGACCGTTGTTGCTACCTTGACGTGGTGGTCGGGCTTGCCTATCGTGATGAAGCAACCGAGCTATACTGGCTGGAACAACCGTTCCTCAAGGTCCTACCATGTCAGACAGGTCGGTTGAAGAGCGGTAAGACTAAAAGCAACAAACCCAAGGTCCGAAGGCGAAGTCGTACTGCTGACTGTACAGAGGTGTGACAGCAGTAAGGTGTTTCCTTCAGACAACCAGCATGACAGCGATGCTGCCTTCCCACAAGGAGGGGTGGGGTTAGAAAAGGTCGACCCTAAAAATGCACACCTCGCCTTATCCCACGGATATCCGTCTCCGGCGGTAAGGTCTCAATAAGTACGGAGCTAACACAAAAATTACCCATAACAAGGTCGTGTGTGACCGACCTCAAGCAGTTGTCCCTTGGGCACTGCGGTCACGCTCTCAGTTCACTAAGACCACCTTTAATCCAATTTCCTTTTCAGGTACCTCCAGAACAACCCTTCCACGGTGTGGGCAACCGGGAAGTGATAACCGCCCTCATACTTCTAACAGCACTCAAGTCCACTGTATTCATAATCAACCTCCTTCTTCAATTCCTATTATTCCTCCTACATCGACTTTCAACTCTGTATTTCCTCTCTCGGCTTCCACCTCAAGTGTCACCGTAGCCAACGATTCTAGTGCGCAAAACACTGTCCCAGGTCTACTGAAACCTCGCTCCAAACTACACATTGGAGCCTTCAACGTACGCACCCTATGTCAAATCGGTCAGCAGGCTTCCTTGGCTAAAACCCTAGAGTCTCTTTCCATTGATGTATGCTGTGTCTCCGAAACACGCATACAGGATTCCAGTGTGGTCATTCACTTGACCTCACCTCGGCAAGACGGAGAGCCAACGAGATACACCCTTCGTGTGTCCGGTGACCCGATGGCAAGTTCTCGTGGACTGGCAGGTGTAGGCATAGCACTAAGCATAAGGGCCGAACAAGCACTGCTAGAGTGGATCCCCGTCAACAGTCGTCTATGTGCTGTTCGGCTGAACGGCTACGTAAGAACTCGGAAGGATAGGGACACACGTCGTTGCCTTTTTGTCGTTTCTGCCTACGCTCCCACTGACTGCAGCTCAGATGAAGTGAAAGATGAATTTTACAGAAAGCTATCCGAACTTCTTCAGAAAGCTAAACGCTCAGACATAGTACTCGTAGCAGGTGATTTTAATGCTCAGATAGGCAGTTTAAACCAAACAGAAAGGCATTTAGGTGGATATTTTAGTATTCCGACACAGCGAACAGATAATGGTGATCGTCTGCTGCAGCTATGCTCAGACAATCGTTTATTTTTAGCAAACACAAATTTTAAGCATAAGGAGAGACATCGTCTAACATGGCGACCCCCTACACCAAACCAACGATGGACTCAAATAGACCATATTGCCATCAGTCATCGTTGGAGAGGGTCGGTAGAAGATTGTCGTTCATTCTGGAGCACCTGCTTGGACTCCGACCATGCCCTAATACGGGCACGCATCTGCTTGCGCCTCAATGGACGCAAAAAAGCCACATTAAAAAGACCCATTAGAACTGAGTTGAGTAACGAGAAAACCAAAAGTAGGTTCCAGGAACAACTGAGGTCACACTTAGTTAGTTGTGAAGACGAGGCTGACCCAGATGTTGCTTGGAAGGACATACAAGCAGCTGTGGAAACAGCAGTGACATCTGTTAGTGACTTAAACCACAGAGTTACAAGGAACCAGTGGATTTCTTCAAGGTCTGTCACACTGATGGATTCTCGCAAACTCGTCCCATCAGGTTCTGAACATGATGAAGAGCGTAAACAAATCAGATCTAGGTTAAGAAAAAGTCTAAGGAACGACCGTGAGCAGTGGTGGGTAACGAAAGCAAAAGAGATGGAAAAGGCGGCGACTATAGGGAACACAAGACAGCTTTACAGACTAATAAAAGAAACTGGAACTAATAAGTCAAGTGTAAGTGAGATTATTTCGGAAAAAGATGATACTCTCATCTGCTCCCAGTCCAGACGTTTAGAACGATGGGCGGAACATTTTAGAGAACAGTTCAGCTGGCCTTCAGCTACTCTACAACTACCCTCCATTCCCAGACAAAGTGAATGGAACATTGAAGTAGGTCCCCCAACTCTTGCTGAAGTTGAGAAGGCTATAGTTAATCTGAAACGAGGAAGGGCAGCTGGTCCAGATGGACTGGCTCCAGAAGTCTTTAAGGATGGTGGTCCAATTTTAGCGACTAGGTTGACTAATATTTTGGCTAAAATCTGGGAGTTAGACGTTATCCCATCTGACTGGTCGCAATCACTTATCGTCCCAATATATAAGAAAGGGTCAAAATCATCCTGTGACAACCACAGAGGGATTAGTTTAACAAACATAGTATCTAAAATACTGGCCTCGATAATTATCAAACGCCTAACTAAGACTCGTGAACTACAAACACGAGAGAACCAAGCTGGCTTTAGACCTGGTCGTGGCTGCATCGACCACATATTCACCATTCGTCAGGTTCTAGAACACAGGCATACCTATCGGCGTCCGACGATGGTGGTCTTTCTTGACTTAAAAGCAGCATTTGACTCTGTAGACCGCGAGACTCTGTGGCAGTGTCTGTCATTGAAAGGCGTACCTCAGAAGTACATAAACCTTGTGAAGGCTCTTTACTCGAACACTACTAGTCGAGTCAGGGCTTATGGCGAACTGTCATCTACCTTTACAACCTCAAGTGGTGTCCGTCAAGGCTGCCCACTTTCTCCATTTTTGTTTAACTTCATCATAGACCTATTGATGGAAATAACACTCTCGTCGACTGAATTCTCGGGTATTGATCTCCTTCCAGGAGGTCCACTTATCGACTTAGAATATGCAGATGACATAGTCCTGTTTGGTGAAGACGCTGACAAAATGCAGAGTCTTCTGGTAGCACTAAGCAACAATGCCAGAATGTTTGGGATGCGCTTAAAAAAAAAAAAAAAAAAAAAAAAAAAAAAAAAAAAAAAAAAAAAAAAAAAAAAAAAAAAAAAAAAAAAAAAAAAAAAAAAAAAAAAAAAAAAAAAAAAAAAAAAAAAAAAAAAAAAAAAAAAAAAAAAAAAAAAAAAAAAAAAAAAAAAAAAAAAAAAAAAAAAAACTCGTTTGGCTTTTGCCAACTTACGTCACCTTTGGCGGAGGCGAGATATCCGTCTATCAATAAAAGGACGAGTATACTGCGCGGCTGTCCGTTCTGTTTTAATTTACGGCAGCGAAACATGGCCCTTAAGAGTAGAAGACACCCGTAAGCTACTAGTATTTGACCACAGATGCCTTAGAAATATTGCTGGCATCTGCTGGGATCACCGGGTAAGTAATAGTGAGGTTAGACGCAGGGTATTAGGGAATGATGGTAAATCAGTTGATGAGGTTATGAATCTTCATCGACTGAGATGGTTGGGCCACGTATTACCTATGTCTGAACATCGATTACCGCGACGTGCAATGCTAACCGGTGTAGGGGATGGTTGGAAGAAAGTTAGGGGCGGCCAAACCAAAACGTGGCATCAGTGCCTGAAGTCACTAACTTCTAGTCTGAGCCATGTTGGTAGATGCAGACTACTTGGTTGGGGTCCGCGTGACTTTCGTAACCAATGGTTGGAGACCCTTGGTGACATGGCTCAGAATCGATCACAATGGCGTCGGTGTATACACTCTATGTCTTCTCTTAAACTAAGAGATTAAGATCACTTCACATCTTTCTTTCTACGAACTAATTCTTTCTTCCTGTACTATATCCTTATTGCAATCTTTCTCCTATATATTACCACCTTTGACCTAACCACTCCTATGAATCCAGTGTTCATCTTGCTGTGCTAATGAGGTATGGCAACCTGGTCCTACGTTGTAGCTGACTGACTGACTGGATTTGAGTCAAAGTATGGAGATTGAATATTTCTATGTAAAACATCTGTCCATTGGATTAATACTGAGCTGTAAAATTAATACGATTGTTAAAATATGATTCTATCACTTATTAAACGAACACAAACAATTAAACTTCCAGTGTAGTAATTATATAAAGCAAATTAATGAAGTATGTAGAGTTAGACATTAGTTGAATGCTTAAATAATTCTAAGTTTCTATATTGCTCCAGATATTTTAGTTTATTCGCCGAATAGTCGTATTAAAAAAAAGCCTAGACACGTATACATGCAACTATAGGATGTCTGAAAGGTAGTTGTCATATGAACAAAGGTCTGGGAACTAGAGAGGGTACCAACGTCATAGAATGAGTCGATAGTTGTCCCTATCTTTAAAAAGGGTTCACGTCGTTGCTGTAACAACTATCAGGGGATAAGTCTACTTCCGATGGCATCCAAGCTATTGGCTTCCGTCATACTTCGTAGGTTGTTCAAAACCCGAGAAAGATTGACTCGCGAGGAGCAGGCTAGTTTTTGTTCCGGTCGAGGATGTATTGATCATATATTCACCCTCCGCCAAACGACTTCCTGGCTGGGGTCCGAGAGATGGTGCAACACAGTGGCTAGAGACGTTATCAGATATGGCTCAGAATAGGAGTTTGTGGCAATCCTTCTGTAACCTTCCTTTACTTTCTTCATAAAAAGTGGTTGCTTCTTTCTTAACTGAAACATCTCTTCTGATTGTACGTTCTTCTAAACATGAAGGTACTAGGTTGAGGTCATGTATGCCTACCACCATTGAGGAGTTTTATGCTAAGTTAAAACAACTATCCAGTTATTCCTTGTGTTCAATGATCAATCCGTGTTCCAATCTGTAGAATTCAACAACTTTAGCAAACTAATTTACACAAACACTTGGTAAATAATTTAAATCAATACATTACAACGGAACATTAATTCATTGAAATGTTAATCATGCACATAGATGCTCTATTCAACTGTCTTCTTGTTGTTGTATCTTTTCTCTCTCCCTCTCATGCAACCAATGTAGTGTACCATTTTAACGGCAAAAGCAGAAGAAAGTATTCATTTAAAAGATGAATTAGATATTGCTCGTGAAGAAGCATCTAATATATTACGTTTATCTACAACTATTGAACAATTACGTAAACATGCTGATGAAGTAGTTAGTTTACGTTTACGTTGTTCACAATTAGAAAATGATAATCAAATTTGTGTACAACGTTTAACTGAATTAGAACAAGAAACACGTTTAGATGGGAATATACGATCAAAAGTAAAAGCTCAAGCACGTTTACAAATAGAAGATGCACAATTCTTAGCAAATGAAGCAATAAAACGTGCTGAATTAGCTGAACAAAATTTATTAAAAATTCGACAAGAATTAATTAATGTAAATCGTGAAAAAGAGGTATGTATGTTTCTATTTTACTGTGAGGTTATGTTTTTATGTTTCGCTTTTCAGTTTCATAAAGCATTTGATACATTATTGATGTTATTGATTAGTTCTTCACAATTCTCAAAGTACTTCTATTATTATCAGTATATATAAGGTTGTGAACTGTTGTTTCTTCCTAGTATGGGCTCCTCAACAATGTTCATCCATGATATCATCTACTCATTTTCTTGGTTTACATCGATCAGGATAAAAGGACGAGTATACTACGCGGCAGTCTGTTCTGTTTTAATTTACGGCGGCGAAACATGGCCATTAAGACTAGAAAATACTGGTAAGCTACTAGTATTTGACCACAGATGCCTTAGAAATATTGCTGGCGTCTGCTGGGATCACCGGGTGAGTAGTAGCGAGGTTAGACGCAGGGTAATAGGGAATGATGGCAAATCAGTTGATGGGGTTGTGAATCTTCATCGACTAAGATGGTTAGGTCATGTGTTGCGTATGCCTGAACACCGATTACCACGACGTGCAATGCTATCCGGTATTAGAGGTGGTTGGAAGAGAATTAGGGGCTGCCAAACCATAACGTGGCATCAGTGCTTGAAGTCACTAACTTCTAGTCTGAGCCATGTTGGTAGATGCAGACTACTTGGTTAGGGTCCGTGTGACTATCGTAACCAATGGTTGGAGATTCTTGGTGACATGGCTCAGAATTGATCACAATGGCGTCGGTGTATACACTCTCTGTCTTCCCTTAAACTAAGAGATTAAAATCGCTACATATCGTTCTTTCTATGAACTAATTCTTTCTTCCTGTACTATACCCTTATTGCAATCTTTCTTTTATATATTACCACCTCTGAATTAACTACTTTTATGAATCCGGTGTTCATTTTGTTGTGTTGATGAGGTATGCCAACTTGGACTTGTATATATGTGCCTGGTCCTACGTTGTAGCTGACTGACTACTGACTAATTAAAAGGTCTCGCTATTCAGGCTACATTTGTCTACATTACATGTGGAATTATCAAACTGATTATCAATACTTAAAGGCTTTTGATTAACAAAACAAATCAATCGAATAACGGGAAAATGCTAATCTTTGTAAATACCTTTATACTTTCGGAATATTTAAGTAACTCAGTTGTTAGGAATCGGGTACTAGGTAAGGATGGCAAATCAATTGATGAAGTGGTGAAACTTCATTAGTTGAGATGCCTAACCACCGAATGCCTCGAAGTGCTATGTTTTACGGCGTAGGAGTAGGTTGGAAGAAAGATAAGGGCGCCAGACCAAAACATGGCACAAGTTCATGAAGTCACTGACAAGTAGACTGAGTCATTTTGGTAGGTGTAGACTACCTCGTTGGGGACCGTGAAATGATAGCAACCGATGTTTAGAGACCCTGAATGACATGACTCAAAATCGTTTGCAATGGCGTAAGTGCATCCACTCTTTGTCCTCTCCAAAATTATAATCTTCTGAATTCACCATGTCCCTTATTTTCTTTCCAAATTTATTTCACTGGATTATAATCCTTGAATAACATCTTCAAGCCCTAATGTTTCCGATTACTGCTTATACTCTTACTACCTCTACCACCACGGAATTTGAGTCGACAACTTCAACTCTGGTAATGTGATATAGCAACTCGAACTGATATACGTACGTACGAAGTTCTACGTTGTTACTGACTGACTTCGGAATATGTAAGTGTCTATCTGAACTTAGTATCTTAGTGAGTAATGCGTTGGGTGTTTAAGTCGAAAAATACTAGTTTTAAGTTTCAATATGATCATCATCCATTGAGGCTAAAAAGTAAATCTATCTGACGATCCCTGAGTCGGACGAAATTCGCGTTGTGTATCCAACTGCTGGCCGTATATTAAGTATTCTAGAAATATTATAACCTTGACAGCACTATATTAAAATTAATTGAAGAACTTATCGGGACTATGACGGGAAATCAAGTAAAGTCATGTCAGCTTCAACGTAGGACCAGGCACATATATACAAGTCCAAGTTGGCATACCTCATCAACACAACAAAATGAACACCGGATTCATAAAGTAGTTAATTCAGAGGTGGTAATATATAAAAGAAAGATTGCAATAAGGGTATAGTACAGGAAGAAAGAATTAGTTCATAGAAAGAACGATATGTAGCGATTTTAATCTCTTAGTTAAGGGAAGACAGAGAGTGTATACACCGACGCCATTGTGATCATTCTGAGCCATGTCACCAAGAATCTCCAACCATTGGTTACGATAGTCACACGGACCCTAACCAAGTAGTCTGCATCTACCAACATGGCTCAGACTAGAAGTTAGTGACTTCAAGCACTGATGCCACGTTATGGTTTGGCAGCCCCTAATTCTCTTCCAACCACCTCTAATACCGGATAGCATTGCACGTCGTGGTAAATGGTGTTCATGCATATACAACACATGGCCCAACCATCTCTATTTTATAGGACAAACGACATTAAGAATATAAATGAATGGCATCTTTTAGTGTTTTGACCCTGATTTTGTTTTGCCTATGAGATTACTTCTTTGATCGGTACATGTATATATTCATTTAAAAATACCTGGTTATGTCTCAAACGTTTATTTCGTCTGTTGTGTTAATATATCAATGGGAAATATATCCATTCTTACATGACAAATATATTGGTACTTTAGCACGTTTCCGTTTCTGCTTCTCCGTTATTTTTCAGTGTATCTTCTCTGAACTTACTCGTCTTAAATCTTGTTGTGAAGGTCTTCAATCATGTGCACAAGCATCAAATTGTAAGTTTATCCTGTGGAATTGACTTACTAATTAACTTTTTGATTAAAAAGTATCCTACTTATCGATGAGTATTTCGTGAATAAATTTCGCATTTATTCCATACATTTTAAGATCCGGTGATCTCGAATACTGTTAAGAGGTTATAGAGGCGGACTTCACTTTCCAGTAACTCATACCGTTGAACGATGTCTATTTTCAAGGACTTGAAAAAGAAACTGAATTGAGATTAGTGGTCTTATCAACCGGCCCCTAAATACCCATGCACAAACGAGAGTGGGGAGAGTCCTCCGTCCCTCTCAAAATGCTCTCACACGGCTACGCGTTTACGGCCAATGTTAGATAATTCCTGCTCACTACCTTCTCGTGGCGAGGGTGTTGTTTACAGAATGGAGAGGACAAAAAGCAAATATCCGAGTTGGTAGATATGAAGGATTTACGTACAGAAGTTAAAAACACTGATTCCAAACCAATGGTGCTCATGTTCTCCAGGATGCTGGAGACAAAATACGTATAAATCTACTGTTGTTCATTGGCTACCGAGGGACTGCATCACTTGACGTTGCTCCACTGCTTTGTGGATTAGGTCTTTAGGCGAAGGACTCGAGGTACGCCTTCCTAAGAAAAGTACCTTCTTCGGTTTGTTTTCTCGGGTAGTATCCCAGAATATATATTTGATGTCTCCTTGATACAACGTCTATATTGTTTAAGCAAATAAAACATGTCAACTTGGAACCATTGTCATAAACTTGAGGGAACATATATATATATAACACCAATATCAGCTTCCACTCTATGGACCATATATTCACACATATTTGATTTATATCCATGCAAATCAGACCACATCACATTACATCACAAATAAAAGATGACAACTATACAATATCAAGTTAAATGTGACTGTCATTGTGATTGGGATAAGCTTATGAATAATAATTTGTATGGTGGTAGTCAACAAGTCAAATAAAAGCTTATGATAAAATAATATAAATACATATAATCTAGTTACTTAGTCGTTATACAATATGAATATATGTATATATACATCATAACAGTCCATGAATGGTCCCCAACAGTTACCGTTCATGTCGGATATAACATAGCCTCTTTACGCTGATACGATTTTCATACGTTAGACCCTTAATTTACAGACCACACCAATCGACAGCGGAAATCAACGGTACACGATGAGGTATGAGAGGGCAGCGTCTCTCCAGATTGTGGTTGCTTCAGTTTAACACCCCAATTATGTCACATCTCTATGCTGTTGGTAGTACAACTTCTCTTGCGTACCTGTAATTGTACTACCCTTTCACTAGACTGCTTGGCATAGTCAGACCTTAAGATGCCAACGTTCTAGTCAACATACTCGAATGAATCACATCACGATGAGCAAGGCTCATCATCAGGTTAGAGTGGCCGCTACTGTTGGATATTTGCTGACTCATTGAAATTCTATGTGAAAGAGAAGTATTTCTACGAGGTATAGTTTATTGTTCCTGGAATCAGATGAATCATTGATTCATTCTGTGGCATTGAACTAGACTTGTCGTTATTCAGTCATGTGGATAAGCAAAAATTACAGTTTGCATAAATTATTGTTTTGAAGTGAAGCTCTCGCTCAACTTTGAACGGTGTACATTATATAATTTCATCCTGTTGGGTTAAACTCCGCCTGGAGTCCCTCCGGGGTCTACTGCCGGTCCCAAGCCCGGATAAAGGAGGAGGGTTGGGCATGGGGTTAGCGTCCCCATCCCGTAGAAAACTAACTCGCTAAAAAAACGCTAACCAGAAAAAATTATTCAAATCTTTTAAACTCTGCCCTGGGAGTCAGAAGGTCTTCATTTCGAAGAATTATGACGCCTCATGATGAAAGCCGAATTCCTTCGGAAGTTACGAGGCCGATGCCCCTTCTGACAACCAGAGCGACCATTTATTTAGGTACATGGAATGTTCGTACAATGTGGGACACCGGAAGAGCCTTCCAAATTGCTGCAGAAACGAGAAGATACAACCTAGAGGTACTTGGGATCAGTGAAACACATTGGACACAAGTTGGACAACAACGACTAACTACAGGAGAGCTCCTGTTATACTCCGGCCATGAAGAAGAAAATGCACCACATACACAAGGAGTTGCATTGATGCTGTCCGAACAAGCGCAAAATGCACTTATAGGATGGGAATCTCATGGACCAAGGATCATCAAAGCGTCGTTTAAAACAAAGAAAGAGGGCATTTCAATGAACATCATCCAATGCTATGCGCCTACCAACGACTACAATGAAGACGCTAAAGATCAATTCTACAATAGACTGCAGTCAATCGTCGAGAAGTGCCCAACAAAGGACCTGACTATTTTGATGGGAGATTTCAACGCCAAGGTCGCCAAGATAAAATTGAAACTCAAGAAACACTGGACAACGGGGCGGACAATATCACAAAAGTTCAATACGGCCTTTCTCCAGGATACTAACAAACTCAACAAATTCAAGATAGTCCTCAGCAACAAGTTCCAGGCCTTTCATGATCTACTCAATGGAGAAGGAACTACTGTGGAGAGCAACTGGAAGGGGATCAAAGAGGCAATCACTTCAACATGTCATGAGGTCCTGGGTCACAAGAAGCACCACCACAAGGAATGGATCACTGTTGATACACTGGATAAGATTCAAGAAAGAAGGAACAAGAAGGCAGCAATCAATACCAGCCGAACAAGAGCAGAAAAAGCCAAGGCACAAGCTGAATACACGGAAATAAACAAACAAGTGAAGAGGAGCATCAGAACCGACAAACGTAAATATGTGGAAGATTTAGCAACGACGGCGGAAAAGGCTGCAAGAGAAGGAAACATGAGACAATTGTATGACACGACAAAGAAACTCTCTGGAAATCGCCGCAAACCAGAACGACCAGTGAAAAGCAAGGAAGGCAAGGTAATCACCAACATTGAAGAGCAACAAAACAGGTGGGTAGAACACTTCAAAGAACTCTTGAATCGACCAGCTCCACTGAACCCACCCAACATCGAAGCAGCACCCACGGACCTCCCAATCAATGTTGGCCCACCAACAATTGAAGAAATCAGCATGGCCATCAGACAAATCAAGAGTGGCAAAGCAGCAGGACCGGACAACATCCCAGCAGAGGCACTAAAAGCAGACGTAGCGGCAACTGCAAGGATACTCCACATTCTCTTCAATAAGATTTGGGATGAGGAACAAGTACCAACAGACTGGAAAGAAGGACTTCTGATCAAAATACCGAAGAAAGGCGATCTCAGCAAGTGTGATAACTACAGGGGCATCACTCTTCTCTCAATACCGGGAAAAGTCTTCAACAGGGTATTGTTAAACAGGATGAAGGACTGCGTAGACGCCCAACTTCGTGACCAACAGGCAGGATTCCGTAAGGATAGATCGTGTACAGACCAAATCGCAACTCTACGGATCATTGTGGAACAATCAATTGAATGGAATTCATCACTCTACATCAACTTCATTGACTACGAAAAGGCATTTGATAGCGTGGACAGAACAACACTATGGAAACTTCTTCGACACTACGGCGTGCCTCAGAAGATAGTCAATATCATACAGAACTCATATGATGGATTACACTGCAAAATCGTGCATGGAGGACAGTTGACAAAGTCGTTCGAAGTGAAGACCGGTGTTAGGCAAGGTTGCTTACTCTCACCCTTTCTCTTTCTCCTGGTGATCGACTGGATCATGAAGACGTCAACGTCTGAAGGGAAGCGCGGGATACAATGGACATCTAGGATGCAGTTGGACGATCTAGACTTCGCAGATGATCTGGCCCTTCTATCCCAAACGCAACAACAGATGCAGGAGAAGACGAGCAGTGTAGCCTAAAAAACAGCAGCAGTAGGTCTCAATATACACAAAGGGAAAAGCAGGATTCTCCGATACAACACAGAATGCACCAATCCAATCACAATTGACGGGAAGATTTGGAAGATGTAAAAACCTTTACATATTTGGGCAGCATCATTGATGAACAGGGTGGATCTGATGCAGATGTGAAGGCGCGGATCGGCAAAGCAAGAGCAGCATATTTACAACTGAGGAACATCTGGAACTCAAAGCAACTGTCAACCAACACCAAGGTCAGGATTTTCAATACAAATGTCAAGACAGTTCTACTGTATGGGGCAGAAACCTGGAGAACTACAAAAGCCATCATCCAGAAAATACAGGTGTTTATTAACAATTGTCTACGCAAAATACTTCAGATCCATTGGCCGGACACTATTAGCAACAACGTACTGTGGGAGAGAACAAACCAGATCCCAGCGGAGGAAGAAATCAGGAAGAAGCGCTGGAAGTGGATAGGACACACATTGAGGAAAGCACCCAACTGCGTCACAAGACAAGCCCTCACATGGAATCCTGAAGGTCAAAGGAAAAGAGGAAGACCAAAGAACACATTACGCCGAGAAATGGAGATAGACATGAGAAAAATGAACAAGAATTGGATGGAGTTAGAAAAGAAGGCCCAGGACAGAGCGGGTTGGAGAATGCTGGTCAGCGGCCTATGCTCCATTGGGAGTAACAGGCGTGAGTAAGTAAGTAAGTAAGTAATGTTGGGTTAGGTGTCATTAATTTTGGTACTGTGTTGGTTTTTTGACGCTAAGAAAAATAGTTATGTTCATCATTGTGAGCTATTCAGTAATTTGTTATTATTGAAATCATGAACCAATGTAAATCAGGCCACTGTTGAGCATTGGATATGTGTTTCATCCTGCTTTACTGCGTCCAACTTGAGCTGTAGAACTCTGTAGGTCGCAAGTTTGAAGACAAAAGACAAGTGGCAAGAAATGTTATTCCAAACAGTGTCACTTATGGCATAACTACTTAGGTATTTATAGCTTACAATAGAAACGAAATCATCATTACAATGATCCAATCTATGTGCAGTAATTTTAGTATCTATCCAATCGGACGGTTGTACGTGAAGATTCTGGAATGTTCTTCGAAAACATGATTGAATGGAATGTCTTCGACTCTTTTCGAGCTTCTTAGGGCCTTCTTGAGGTCACCGGGTGTCCATCCTAATATTGTGTTTCTTAGTAGTGGTCATCTATGACCTTACCATTCATCTAGCCCATAATCTTCAGGCCTTGCACCGAAAGCTTAGCATTCAGATCAATCAATAGTTATCTAATTGTTCACATGTACCTAACTTCAGTTCATTTTTGGTTATTGCATAACTTAACTGATTACAGTATAGTTTAGAAGAGAAACTATTGACCTAATTTCTTCTATTATATTGTATTGTTTTTATTATACACTCATTCATGTGATGATGATGATATTGAGTTAGTTTTTCTTTTGCTACATTTCTAACTGAACTAAAACTTTTAACTAACTACTATTTCTGTTCAGTTACTTATTGAATTTAGTACACTCAATCTCTTCTTTGTTTCTTTACTAATCAGTAATTTCTAAAAGGTCTACATGTGTTTTTATCTTTGTTAATGATATTCATTATAATCTTAAGTAAATTGTTTTCCGTTACTTGTCTGCTAGATGATACACCAATAATGGAATCACAAATGTTAAATTTACAAGAAGAACTATGTCGTTTACGTACATCAATGTATGTTAGTGATATGAGTAGTGGTAGCAATATGAACGAAGTTGGCGGCAATACTACTACTACTACTACTATTACGACTGGTATATTAGACAATGATACTGGTTTTGTTGATGATAATGATGTTCATCATTTCAATATGTCTTTAACATCACAAAACCAATTGAATACTAATGATAATGATTGTCATTCATTAACTGTCAATGATAATGATTCTTCTAGTACACATAATTTGCAAACACCATCTACAAATTCTTATCATATTCATGTTGATAAAGATATGAATAATCCATCTGCTGCCACTACATTGTTATATACAAATTTAATGAGAAAATTAACTCAAAAAGAAACAGATTTCATTGAAATGGAACAAAAATATCGAGGTTATTTATGGAAAGCACGTGAAGTGATACGATTGTTAGAACGTCAATATCGACAACATCAACATAATTGTCCACAATATAAAAGAAAATAATCATTGATATAAACAATACTACTAATAGTACTGATGTTAACAACAATAGTATAAATAGTGATAAAATGAATGAAGAGATTAATTATTTACGTACGTTATTAGTTGAAAAAGAACGTGTTATTGAGAAATTAGAGGTAAGTAGTGTTGTATACTATTCTAAAAATGATCACTTCATATATTGAATGATTAACATTTGGTCAATATTTTTACTCTAGTTTATTTGTTGTTCTCGCTACAATCAAATCAATTTCGGCTCTACATCTCGAAATTCTCTTACATGGCCATGCGTATATAACCTCTGCCAGGGAAGTCCTACTCACTGCCTTCTCGTGGCACTAGTGTTGTTTACGAAATGGAGAGGACAAAAAGCGAATATCCGACGCTTTAATAGGGTTGGTGGACATGGAGAATTGGAAAACCCTCATTTTAAACCAATGGTACACATGGAATCCAGGATCCTGAAGAAACAAATGGCGTATGAACCAATCGTTTGTCACCGGCTACCATGGGACTGTATCTCCTTACGATGCTCCATTGCTTCGTGGATTAGACCTTTAGGTCGAAGGTTCCGGGTGCGCCCCCCCCCAAGAAAACCACCACTTCAGGTATTTATATATCCGGTACTTGGACTTGACCTAATCCTTCCATAATTTCGTCTACCTAAACCCTTAAATAAGAGAAAAAGCTTTAATCCTAAGGTTAGTTTAGGTATAGAAAACAAGAATACTTACAGTTTTATGTTCGATCTCAATAGTTTAGATGTGCTTAAACTGAATATGACGCAACTTATAGTTTTTCTGGGAAATTTCTATTGAATATTAATCAAATAAAGTACTTTCAACTATTTCTAGGCGTTTGAGGAATTCTAAAAGACTCTCAATAGATAAATCTATAATGAAATTGGTTAGTGTTAACTTCTTGTGTTCATTGTTCATTGCTTCATTTTGTTTCAATTATTTGTGTTTTGTTACATTTTTAAATTGTATTGCCTTTTTATAATATTTATAGACTCATCATGAACAAATGAGACGTCATCATGAAGCTGAGCAACGTATTCTTTTAACTGCATGGTATAATTTAGTAATTAAATCAACTAAAAACCTAATTGAATCAGATCTTAAACAAAATTGTCACAATTCTCCTGAAAAACTCAATAATTTTCTATCATGTTATAATACAGAGAATAATTTATCATTTTTAACTCGACAACGTAATATTCATTTGAAACCTCCGACTGATTTAACTTCATTAGTGATGGCAACAAAATAGTAATTGGTTGTTGTTGTTGTACCCATATATACCTTCATTACTCATTGGTCACATTATGTTTTCTCTCATCCTTGTGCATTTCACTAGGATTGATGATAATTGAATTCTATTTTTTTTCAGGATTACAATCAAGTTTGTTTTCCGCATTTCAATGTTTTAATTCTCTTCTACCCTCTGAAATAAGATCATCTTACATTCAATGCAGCTATTCTACAAATTCATCAATATATTTTATATCATGATTATTTCATACTTAACCCTTGAAATTTGATCTGATTGATTATTTTTGAAGTGATCATTAAAATGCAAAAAGTGATGATCCCGATCATTGTCAGTTCAATTACTCATTATTGATTTAGTAATTTGATTTTGAGATTCATGTGGATTCTTAATTGTTTCTCACATCATATTTACATGAATCATTGTACATATGAAGAACTGGATAACTGAATAATATTTCCTTTTCTATTCCATTTAAACGACTGTTTTGTTGTTGTTGTTGTTGCTAATTTTACTGTTACATTTTCTGTTTAATTCATTTTTTGTAATTACTCATTGATAATATATATACTTACTTACTTACTTACTTACTTACTTACTTACTTACTTACTTACTTACTTACTTACTTACTTACTTACTTACTTACTTACTTACTTACTTACTTACTTACTTACTTACTTACTTACTTACTTACTTACTTACTTACTTACTTACTTACTTACTTACTTACTTACTTACTTACTTACTTACTTACTTACTTACTTACTTACTTACTTACTTACTTACTTACTTACTTACTTACTTACTTACTTACTTACTTACTTACTTACTTACTTACTTACTTACTTACTTACTTACTTACTTACTTACTTACTTACTTACTTACTTACTTACTTACTTACTTACTTACTTACTTACTTACTTACTTACTTACTTACTTACTTACTTACTTACTTACTTACTTACTTACTTACTTACTTACTTACTTACTTACTTACTTACTTACTTACTTACTTACTTACTTACTTACTTACTTACTTACTTACTTACTTACTTACTTACTTACTTACTTACTTACTTACTTACTTACTTACTTACTTACTTACTTACTTACTTACTTACTTACTTACTTACTTACTTACTTACTTACTTACTTACTTACTTACTTACTTACTTACTTACTTACTTACTTACTTACTTACTTACTTACTTACTTACTTACTTACTTACTTACTTACTTACTTACTTACTTACTTACTTACTTACTTACTTACTTACTTACTTACTTACTTACTTACTTACTTACTTACTTACTTACTCAAATCGTACTCTGTTTTAGGCAATCCATTCCAGTTTAATACCAAGTGATATTCGAAATTTACGAAATTAAGAGGTATGATAGTAAATATCATGTAAGTTATTACAAATAGTGTAAGGTTCAGTTCGTTTATGGCTGTGAGGCCAAATAAGATAATAACGTTAGATCAATAAATTACAGTAAGTGCTTTTAGAAGTTTATATGAATAATAGCTATGTGACCATATTTTGTCGTTACTGGATTCTTGTTTCAGCTGAATTTGTCTTTCATGGACACTGCTATAGGCCATCACGTCAATTTATCAATGCAGGTGAAAATATAACTAAAACCATGTGAAATCGTCAGCGGTCCGACAATATCGACATGTATATGCTTGAACGTGCTTTCAGGATGACGGAAAAGAGCTACTGCGGAACTAATGTAACGATGTATCTTAATTTAGCCATACAAATCACTCGCTGATTAGTTTGACTGTGGCTTATATCCCAGGATGCGATATTTTATTCATAGCTCCAAAATCGTTTTATCTTAGTGGCTTAGTAAAAAAAGGTCGTTGTCGGCCCGTAGAAGTAGCACACGTGATGCTTACTTTTTCGAATGGAATTTCTTTTAGTGCCAAAGTGGTTGTGTTGGCAGACCCTAGTCTGTCTAGCTCAACATCCATATTTCGCAATGCTGGTAATTTTTGATAAGGGTTTCATATTGGATGAGGGTGTTTATCATTGTTCTGGGAAAGGCATGTGCCACTCCGTTATTATTACCTTTAATATCCTGTATGCTAGACATAAATTGGGAAGTAAATTCGAATTTCCTTCGGCGAATAGTTATCCTGCCTGACATTTAATGCTTTCGTGACGGGTTTACGATCTGTATACACTGTGAAAATGGTACCCTCTATCATATGTCGGAAATGCTTTATTGCCAAGTAAATCGATAAAAATTCTCCGAAAGCGAAAGTGGTTCCAATGTGCCGTTTACCAACTGCTGCAGTATGGCCCTCATTGCTATGCGTTTGTCATCACGGCTGGTACTAACCTCGTCTTATATAGCACTTGCTTAGCGTTCTTATACGCTTATATAGCCTCTATTGACAGATGAAATTTTCGGGTATGTCTTCGCAAAGTGTCCGTTAATGTTTGTAATATTATTGCGCAGTTTGGAATAAATTTTCCGTAATAATTTATTGGTCCCAACAATCGTCCTAATTTCTTTTGTGGTTCGGGAAACGGATAACTACGAATAGAAACACCCGCTGTCGGGACTGGCATTATACCTTGAGAATTTATCATATGGTCCAGGAATTGCAATGATTCCTTTCCAAACTCACACTTTTCCACGTTAATAGTGACGCCATGTTCTTGAAGTTTCAGAAACAACTGTCGTAGATTTTCTACGGTAGAGCCGGCTACTGGTATATCATCGATATATGCGTATACTTCTGTCAAACCTCCAACAACCTGACCAATGAATTGCTGGGAGGTTTGGGCTGCATTAGTTAATTCAAAGGGCATTCGCCGTTCTTGTTATATCTTCTGGCGCCATTGGAATGTAATAAGCCCGAACAAGATCAGTGTTTGAAAAGTTCGAGGAACCTTCCATCAGTAGTAATGTGGTGGATGTGCGGCGCCGGATATCTATTTGCCACAGTTTGTTTGTTAAGGGTTCTCTAATCTCCATATACAACGGGGATGACGAGGGACTGTTAGGTAGCCTTATGATCATCAATTTTTGGGTCTAACCTTCGTGGTCTTGCATTTGTCGGTGGGTATTTCGTTAGGATGTGGTGCTGCACAGTATGATTAAGATCTCTATTATCTCATGATGCCCTCGCCAAATCTGTTGACTACTACTACCTATATCACTTTCGTCTTTTCACACTACTAAATTAATAGATTCGTGAACGGTGGTCACTCTTTTTATCACTACTGAATGGTCTCCATTCACCAGACCGTTTCGTCGGGTATCCACTAGTAAGTTGAGATTCTTCAAGAAATTAATACCAATTATAGAAATGAATACATCTGCGACAATGAATTCCCAGCAAAATGAAGTAGCACTACCAAAATTCAAGTTTTGTTGTCGCTTTCCATGTGTTTTTATATCGGATTTGTTTGCTGCTATCAGGGTTAGTGTCGTACTAATGTTTGTCGCTCACTGGGGGCACGACGCTTATCCCTCCCCCGTGTCTACTAAGAATCGATCTCCTGTTACTCTGTCCTGGGCATAAACTATTGTTTATAGGAGCTGTGCTAGATGTCGCACCCTTTTCCGACAACCGATGAGATCGTTTAAATTTGCGCTCTGATGTCGGACGGTTGATGGTACCGCCATATTGTAGGAGCTGAGCGTCTCCCAGAGCATAATCAGCTTCTATCTCTCGATCAATTTCGCGATCACATCTCACTGTCGTTCTGATTTAGGTTCAGTTTGTGGCACATAACATTAATCTGTTTTTGTAATGCATCGATTCTTTCATCTTCTGTGAAGTTGTGCCCTTGTCTCATATATGCTATCGGCTATTTTAGTGATGTTGTCTATGTCTGCATCGCTATCCCGAATGCAAGGATCTGTTGGACATTCAGTGGGAGTCGTCGGATCCATTGACCTTCTGTCCCCGATTATACTACTTATAAAATTTTGACTGCGATCAAATCCTATCTCCGATTCGCACTCGACTGAGCAGCTGCTCAGCGGTTTGCCGGTCTGTTAATGAAACGGCTTTTATTACTGCCTGCTTTCCGCGTTCGACTTAGGTAAGACCTCTCCTACAGTATCTGCTTCTTCATCTGGAATTAGTGAACTTGCGTGACCAAATTTATCTTGTTGTAAACGAACACCGGTTTAAAGAAGGATTGGGAGAATGTACGAAGACCAAAGCATTGTTAACCCTCAAACATGGAGCTACTCCCGATCCAAAAGATCTGTACAATATGCAGCGCTACCTATTGTTGAACGCCTGCAAAGAAGTGCAACCATAGGACCAGTGACTTTTTCTGATTGAGCAGCACCAACAGTGATTGTTAAAATAGCATATTCGAGGTATATGGCTATATGCAGATTATGTCACTGGATTAAATGAATTACTTGAAACGTATCAGTACACTTTAATGTTACCAGAAGACTTATTTGCGAAACTGAATGGGGGAAGTATTTTGCAAAACTGGACCTACAGATTACAGTGGCGGAAGAGTGTAAGTGTTACTTGACAGCAAACACTCATAAAGTGTTGTTCCGACATAACAGACTTCTGTTCGGAGTAAAGACCGCCCAGTTATGAACGCCATGCTACAAGGTATTCCAGGTACTGCGGCCTATCTCGATGACATATTATTCATCGGTACAGACTATGCTGACTTATTTGCGACTTGAGAGGGTTCTAGCGTTCCAGTGCTCAAATTATACGCGGCATATTAAGCATCTAAGTTTTAGATATAACACCTATCCAGTCAGAAACAATATCAGTATCTATTCTCGAACGTCACACGTCAAGGCATATGCAGTTCCCCAAACTGGGTTAATCAAGTTGGAAATCTTATATTCAGATAAAGTATTGCCAAGTTGACTTAATGCAAACAAAAACCGTTTGATCGATGTGACTTCTTTTCTCATTGTATATGAACAGAATAGTTGTAAAACGAAACAACCCCAAATAGATAGAAATGTTGTCAAGAAGATCGAGTATAACTTTTAAAAAAAGAACACTAGTGTTTATACACATTCATATGTCGTACATACATACATACATACATACACTTTTAACATCATGATTATAATAAATTGCAGCAGAACAGCATGTGATGAAACACAACATGTCATTCTAATTGATGCACACTTACACAGATAATTCAATTATCTTTTTGCTTTTAATGTTTTAGTTAAAAAGCACTTCCAAATATGAATCCAACGACTTGGATTTATCTTTACAAAAAAAAAAAAGATTCTTTTCTATATAAACTTCACAACTAGAACAGTATCTGTCTACAATGGTAATGAATGAATGATGTATGAATTACATTGAATATTAGTGTTCAATAAAAAATAATGACAATTTTATCATGTTAAACATATCGACTAAGTAAATGAGAACTCCAACCCCAACCTCATCACCACCACCACAGAGCACCATGACTACTACCAAGAAAGTGTTTGTTCATAACGTAGATACATACATAGTGAACAATGAAAAGAACAATTTAATCAACATAAAAACTTGTCATCTCATTTTTGTTTTCTTCTTTCGATATAAACAATTCTAGAACAGAAATTACAAGTTAAAATAATTATGGACAATATGGAAACAATAAGCTTATCTTCGTGTATGTCTGTCTGTGTGTGTGTGTGTGGGTGGGTGTAGAGATTCCTAAACAATGAAGAGTATTCATTCATTCATTCATGTAATCTGTTCATTTAGATGAGAAACAATAAAAATATTCATGATGATGATGATGATCACAGGGATATTCACAATGATAAGTAAGAAAAGAAAAACAACACTGATCAGTATGGTTCTCTTCATTTCTGTTGAACTGAAACCAATAAATGATAATCTACTCTTGTTTAAATATGCAAATAGACAATAAACACATCATTGATAATAATCGATTAGTTAACAATGAATGAATGAAAAGAGAAATGAATCATGTACAAAGTGTGTGTGTGTGTATGTGTGTCTCTATGTGTGATAAAATAGTCTTCAATTGATTTTATACTTCTTTGTTTATGAATTTATTTTGAACATTTAAAAGAACAAGTGTTCGATCATGGAAACCGGCGGCAATCAATGGCTAGTTTTATGTTACAAAAACAAACAACAATATAAATATTGTTAGAATTGTAAAATTACACATGAACTAACAATAGTTAAACACTATTGGAAACTTCAAAGCACTAGACAAATGTTTTGTCCTAACACAAGACAATTCAGTCCACCAAGGTGCTTGGTACCTGTGGGGTTGCGCCACAGGATTGAGCTCTACTATTCAGATTGTAGCATTAAAGCCTATACGGTGTCTGGTTCTCCTGTGAAGCAAGATTGAGCTGTAATGCTCGGTTTATAAAATGTAAGCCTGGGTGGTGTCTGCCTCTCCTCTTAAACGGGGTTGAGTTGTACTATTTGCGTTGTCACGTGAAATTCCGGACGGTGTCTGGTTCTCCTGAAAACCAATGTAAAATTACTCTGGCCCACAAGGGTATATTATATAACTGTGAATAGCCCTCAAATACCATGGTACGGTCGAGAGTGCGTAGCGTCCGCCCACCCTCTTGAAATGCTCTCACATGGACACGCGTATATAGCCTCTGCCAGGGAAGTCCTATTCACTCCTTTCTCGTGACGCGAGTGTCGTTTACGAAATCGAGAGGAAGAAAACCGAACGTCCGACTCTTTAACCGGTTGGTGGACATGGAGACTCCACTTAGAGGAGTTGGAAAACCAATGGTGTGCACGGGCTCCAGCGTCCTGAGGGGACCAAAGGCGTATGAACCAATCGTTGGTCACCGGCTACCATGGAACTGCATCTACTTACGTTGCTCCTTTGGATCAAAGGCTCCGGATGTGGCCCCTTAAGAAAGTTACCTGCTTCGGTTTGGGCACCCAGGCAGTATCACAGCTCTCACACATATCAAATGAAATTTGTGTGGCGCATATGTATTTGGTGCCTCTTTGTACCAATATCTATGTGTTAAAATAAATAAATAAACAAGATCACTAAGTCGACATTCAGTATTGGATAGGGATCATTGAGTAACCGCAAAACAGTTGTTCAATGTTATCAATGTATGCCGAAGTTTCACCAATCGGAAGTCAAAGACCTGATGGCAAAAAGTTAAGAAGATCGAAGAGAAGAGAACGACAACAAAAAGTGATTGGTGTAGAATCGAAGGAACAATCAAGTCTGAGACAATTGATTGACATTTTTCAAATGAAGTGTACAGAAGTTTACAGATTTTACTAAGATTCTGTAATTTTGTGTTTAAATACACTTAGTTTTCCCGTCTCTGTTATCGTTTCCTATAGTAGATTGGTTCAAAATACCCAGATTAGAATGTCTACAACATCAACCTTTTACGTTTGATTCAGAGATTAAACTGGGAGATATGAAGTAAATGTTGAAATTCTGAAAGGAACGTTAAAATTCTCTTTAATTTTAACTAATTATATTGAGAAAGTGTATAATCGTATGAAGGGATAGTTCTTCTAGGAAGGGGTGTTTGGTAAATCGGCTGTCATAATCGCTGGAGATATCTAGTTATTGACATCAGTTTAGATCAATTACCTCTAACATCTCCCGAACCTAATCGGCAATTCTGATGTTATAGATGAGATTGCACATTAAACTATATTGAGTGGAACACTCTTTACTTAGGATATTACCATACGAAGCAGGTTGGTTAGAAAATAGTGAGATTCAAGAGAGAAGTTGTACGGTTAATTGACAGCACTGCTATTTCCTTCAGACAATCAGCATACAAAGAGATGATAAAGTTTAGCGTTATGGTTACTCAAGTTAGATGCTAAGAGTAGCACACTTTATCTGGCTCTAGAGATTTCTCTTTCAAGTACCGAGGCATTAAAAGTAAGGAGATAAGAGATGAAGATCTACTCGTAATACAACTATGTGTGACAGGCACCAGAAAGTTGTCCTTTCGACTGCACAGTTTCATCTAGGTCGCTAAGAACACTTCCAGTTACAACCCTCGTACCTCATAGAAGAGTATCTTTTCACAATGTAGGTAACCGTGAACTGATCAGTCTCATATGCATCAATCACTCCGCTAGAGAGATCACTTTGTGTTCACAATCAAAACCCTGAAGTATTTTAAATTCATAAACACAATAACAATAAATAAACAAAAGGAAATAAGCATTACATCAACACGCATACAAACCTCGTTTGGATGAAAAGCACAACATGTGGGCGTTCCAAATTGTTCACGACCAAAATTATTATTGTTAGTAGTATTAAAATTTCTGATAGAAGAATGTAAACTACCATCTTGAATACGATGTAATGAAATACTTGATTGACCACGAATACCAGCCAATGCAAGATGTGCATGTGGTGATGATAGATTAACCTAAGTAAAACAAAGTAACAATACATACACACACATAATATAATGAAGTTTAGCAAAAAGATCTACGTATTTATTATCACAGACCCAAATACCCTGATATGGTCGAGAAACAGTTATCATATGCTTCAAAATCTATTCTGTAGTGTGAAGCTTATAATGAAGCATGATTGACAGTAAGTAAATTATTAGGGTGACAGGGTTGAAAACACTCGTGTGTTATTTTCCAGTGGAGTGATATTTAAATGATAATCAAAACAATTAGTTTTCAACCAGTCAGTGATCTAAAGCTGTAATCCATAGGGCAGTAAAACAATGTTAAGAGATGCAGTCCCATGGTAGCCGATGATCAACGATAGGTTCATACGCCATTTATTCCCGCAATATCTTGGAGCCAATGTGTACCATCGGTTTGGAACTAAGGTTTTCCAACTCCTCCTAAATGAATTTTCCGTGACCACTTACCCGGTTACAGCACCAGACATTCTCTTTTTGCCTTCTCAATTTTGCAAACAACACCCAGGTTTACGAGAAAGTAATGAGTAGAACTTCCCTGACATTGGCTGTATACACATGGCTATGTGATAGCATTTGTAGAAGGAGAGTGAAATTACCTTGCTCTCAGCCGTACCAAGGCGTTTGTAGGAAAGAAGGAACTCTCGGAATAAATAGAATTGTGAGACAATGGGAAAACAAACGAGTGAATACATTTGCGTCATTTTAATTGATTTTGAGCAATATCATTCAAAGCCACCAACAATCATTTATTAACTCTAAAGAAATTGTTTACACTTTAATCACGAAATAATAGAAATTCAAGTTACTTCTTAAAAACATATCCCAAATATACCATTATTGACCATGAATAGTCTGTGACTTCATGCACTGATGTATTTGTGCACGCACGGAAGGCCAAAGAACACATTACATCGGGAAATAGAAGCACATATGGAAAGGATTTCCCAGGACAGGGTTGGATGGAGAATGCTGGTGAGCGACCTATGCTCCTTCACGAAAAGTAACAGGCGTAAGTAAGTACGGTTTCAACCAACTCGTACATTGGCTAACAGTGAATGATGTGTTTTTTGTCTTTTCTAATAATACTGAAAACTTATAAAACTTAAATGAGAAAAAGATTCGCCTAAATATTAATCATTTTCAAACAAATTACCAATAAATCAGCACAATTAACCGATGAATTCATTGGTAAAGATAAACGTGGTGGACAAGGTAAACGTCGAAATCGTCGAGTTGTTGAAGAATTATTAATAGTATTATTTGTTGATGATCTAACCACAGTAGATATATATCTACGTGGATGATTTGATAGATTGATATGATCATGACGAGTACTGTCACCATTATTATTGTTATTAGAATTCAATGAAGTTGATAATAGTGGAGTATTTGAAGTGATTGTTGTAGGGGTAGTGTTATTATTCTCAGTTGGAAATGACAAATGCCAAGCACCAATTCCACCCATAGCACCAACAGCATATAATCGATTAGTTGATGAAAAGACAACTTTGAAAATTCTAGCAGTATCAGCTTGACTGTTGAAAATAAGACTAGAAAAGTACAAAAATACAGAACACATAACAACAATTGCATTTCCAAACATGATAAATATTGATAGATTAAATAGTAAAATATTATTATTCAAGGGAATCATTATCAGTCAGTTAAGAATATTCGATTATAACAGTACAGAGTTGCTGAGTTTCATTGAAATCATGAACTGTGTGACAATTTCGTTCAAGTAGTACGAATTAGATATACACGATTCTTTGTCTAGGAGTCAAACTCAGCACCTTCAGTTTCGTGTGCGAACGGTTAACCCTCTGCCCATCTAGAAGAGCAATGGTGTCTGGTGTTAAAGTAGTCTGCAAGGATACCAAAGGGTCAAACGAAAACATGACACCAATCCTGTAGTATTATAGGATTTAGCCAGACGACTTGATCTCTGTGCTAATAGTGTATGACAACTTGAACCGATTTACATACGTACCAGGTCCTACGTTGCGAGTGTAATGACTGACTGGTTAACCTCTAGACCACTGAGCGGATGTTCAAAGGTATCAATGTCTAAAACCAATCAACACACAATATCGTGCGATCCTCCGTCGCTGTCCGCGGTGGATAACTTTATCATGTCTACATCCAATCACGTCAAGTTTTTGAGTATAATGAATAATAGCTCTAGAAAATTTACTAAGGTTTGTGTATGATGATGACAGAGTCACTAAATGGAACAATATCATCTAAGTAAGCAAAAGAACCTCCTATTAGAAGATCAACCCCTGAAAAGTCATACGATGAGATCTTTTAAAAAATGTTTATGACAAAGTTACATGGAGTGGGGAAAAGCGGACAACGTTGAAGAACACCACTTGATGTTATTAATTCCAATGACAGTTCTCTTTACAAGTTTGAGTAAAGAGCTTTAATGCTCCTTTTTGGTATGCCTTTCAATGGAACACACACTACTATAAAATCTATCAATCTAACGAGCCGAACTCGGTGTTCAAGATTTAGAATAGTGTTTGCAAAGTATTGTAAAGAAGAAGAAAAAGAGTTAAAATATAACTAACTTACCTATCATTGTTGCTACTACTACTAATACTACTACCACTCATATTATTACAACTAATATGATTCAAAGATGGTACACGTACATCCCAAACACGTATACCACCATCATTGAATCCAGCAGCTAATAAATGATTATCTATACTTTTTGTTAAACATGTCACTGATATATCTGATCCTGTATTAATATCTCTTAATCTAGATTCACATAAACAATCCCATATACGTATAATACGTGTATCACCGGATACAATAAGTTGATTTGATTGTTGACTCCAATGTACAACAACACCAACTGGATAATCAGTTTGATATAAATCTGTTATTCCATTCCTTTAAAGTGTATAAGAAAGGAAAAGATTCATTTATTATTATCATTATTAATATAGAAAAGTTAATGAAATGAAGACAGATAATCGATTACAACATAAAATTGTCCAAGCCGAATGACTTTCGGAAGCTTATGGCCAATTATTAAAATCTGCGTAAATGTTATGTCCTAATAAGCAGAATGAATGGTAACTTTTGAGATCCATTTATGGACCAATACTATGCGTATAATTGCTAAATAACTAAACTATTCACATTCATGTCCCTCTTATTATGAGCTTCATGTTGACCTATGAACTATTATTTTACGATTTATCATTCTTGAGTTATGCCGAGTCTATCAATGACTATCTCCCACATTCACAGCCACATTGGGCTAATTCTTGTACAAATGTTGTTGCATATTTTATGGTATGATATAGTCTGTCTGATTGGTATAGAAACCCAGTATGTTTGAAATAAATGATTCAAATTGCAGAGGTTGATATTGGTGTTCTGGACTTAACTGGCTGGGCTAGGCAGGAAGTAGGATCAATAAGGACTGCTCGCACGGGTTTTAGGCGTCATTGATCCGATCGACAATTCACTGCTCTCTAATTGGCGATATCACTACGTATACATTAACAGGACACTCAGGCCACAGGTTATAACAGTAAATTACCATGAGAACATTCTTTACAACTATTATGTAACCGATCATCAGCCAATCCTCTGGTTCTAGATCATTCCTGAACCTAGTTTAAGAGTAATTTTACAAGAGTTTCCATGGCGATGACAGTATTGGTATACTTCGAAGTCACCACTCTACACAGTCAAAAAAAATATGTTACTATCGTCTTCAAACATTGAATGATGGCAACGTTAACTGTTTAAGTGATTACTACATTCTGTCTCCTATAAAACCATACCGTACTTGAACGTGACTATTTATCTCCGAGACAAAATTAGAAGGCAGAAATAAGAAAAAAAACTTAGCTGGATTCATCAACTGTAACCAAAATCAAGAGGATATCACCTGAAGGAAACAGATGAATCAAATAACCTCTTAAGTATTTTCTGAATCCAAATGAAAGGTGTGTATATTGTTCTCTACAAAATTAATTCAACGGAACTATGTAGATAATTTTACAATCCAACTTCAACTAAACTTTACAAAACTTTAAACGAAACATTATCAATGCCAATCCGTGCATCTTTGACTCGAAAAGTGAATCGTACTCAGGATCTCCAAATCATACAGTAAGTGTTTAACTGACAAACCACCAAGTTCAGATCCAATAGTTCACACATCTAATATCAATTTACTTATGGCATTACGTAACTATCATCTAATCCCATTCATGGGTAACCACCTCAATTCCGAACATGATCGAGATCCACTAGTAACGGATTCTCACTAGAATTCTGAGAATAAACTCTCGAAATAAGTTTCCAATAAGTAGATGACTATTGTCTCAAACGTAGTATGCAAGTTTTATAGAGTCCGTTTAGTTTAGAACACAGAAATTTATGGGTAACAATGTCGGTTAATTATTTACTATCAAAAAGTGGTTAACATTAAGTGACGAAACATTGGAAATAAAAATTTTCTACTCATTGAGATATAACGAAAAAGGTCCTTTTCCACGGAATAGAGTTGCTAGACCCCATGCCCAACCCTCCTCCTTCATTTAGGCTTGGGACCGTCAGTGACCCTTTAAGAGCTCAAGGTTTTAACAAGCACATTGAGTTGGCAATCAGATGGAGATATCAAAATACTGGATAGGATTTGACAGAGCTAGCTGGAGAATCCTAGTCGGCGGCCTATGCTCTACTAGGAGTGACAGGTGTGAGGGAGTGATACAAAGATTACATTATTTCTTGCAAATTCATTGTAAAGTACCCAATACACTATACTCAAAAGTCTGTCTAGTGAAAATGACTTCAAACCTAAAGGTCTGATCCACAAGGCAGTGGAGCATTGTAAGGAGATGCAGTTCTATGGTAGTTGGTGACCAACGATTGGTTCATACGTCATGTCTTCTTTCAGGATACTGAAGCCCATGTACACCATTGGTTTGGAATCAGGGTTTTTCAACTCCCCTAGGTGGACGCTCCATGTCCACTAACCCAGTCAAAGCGCCAGACATTCGCTTTTCGTCCTATCAATTTCGTAAACAATAACCCCGCCATGAGAAAGCAGTGAGTAGGACTACCTTGGCATAGGCTATATAACAAAGCCTATTGTTCGCTAACATCTATTGTTCTAAATCACAATAAGAGAATTTTTCAAATCGAAAAGATCAATGTTTTCAATGAACATTATGTTTTTTCTAATGTTTCATAGTGTAAAACAGATTTATTAACTCACACACACACATACATACATACACACACAAAGTAATAACCTTACCAAGCAGTAAGAATTTCAGGATCTTGACCAAGATGATGTGTGTAATTACGCCATATACGAATGTAACCATCATCTGTTGCAGTTAACAACAAACTTTCCTCTTCATCTGCATTTATAAATTCAATATCAGTAACGTATCCAACACGTGAATATCTAAAACAATTAAGCATAGTAAGTATAAAACATAAGACGAAAATAATTCACAGTTCAAATGAATCTCCTCCTTTGGTTCTTTGAATTAAATAGTCTAATTGAGAAGTATTTATTCTTCTTTCTAAACAATATTTTCACATTTTAATTCATACAGAATGTGAGTTATCAGTTATTTCTCAATCTCTGAAACAATCTATGCTGGCAATCCTATTTGCAATGAGTTTATCATTTGTAAATGTAATTGTCTTTGTATTCTTGTTAATTAGTTAAGTTGATTGATCTTAGACTACGTGATTAACTAACCGTTTTTCTGTATTAAACCTGATATGTTGGATCATGTTTTTGAAAATTATTAAACATCTCTTAGGATTACTAGATCTCCGAGATCTTGACTTCTTCACAGTCGAATTCATGTTTGTGATTACACATGTTGACTGATATTATATAGTGATAACATAACGATTCCTTGGATAGGACTGTTCTCTGGGATTGTCTATTGAAGAAGGGTGTGCCTGAGAAGTTTATTAACATCCTAAAAGCCCTACATACAAACACCTCAGGCAGAGTGAGGGCATACAACCACCTTTCTCCATTGTTCCATTCGAGCAGTGGGGTTAGACAGGGTTGCCCAATCTCACTATTCCTCTTCAACTTTGCCATCGATGACATTCTGGAAACAGCTCTGATGAATGTAATTAATGGTGGTGTAGATCTGTTGCCTGGAGAAAGACTTCTCGACCTTGAGTATGCTGATAATATTGTCTTACTGCGTGATAATACCCAAGCCATGCAATCAGCACTTAACCAGTTGGCAATCAGTGTCCGTAGGTATGGTATGTGCTTTGCACCTTCGAAGTGCAAAGTACTTTTACAAGACTGACAGGATCCTAATCCTGTACTCACCCTGGGTGGTGAGCAGAAAGTAGTCGAGATGTTCATGTATCTGGGTAGCTGCATAAGTGCTGGTTATGGCATGAGTGATGATATCGATTCACGTATAGTGAAAGCCATAGCGGTTTATGCCAATCTGGACCATCTTTGGCGCCTTCGTGATGTTAGTCTGACTGTAAAAGGTCAGATCTACAACGCGTCGGTGAGAGCAGTTCTGCTCTATGCTTGTGAAATATGGCCTCTCTGAGTTCAGGATGTTAGACGACTCTCTGTATTTCATCATCGTTGACTCCGAAGGATTGCTCACATCCAGTGGCAACACCATGTTAGTAATGCAGAGGTTTAGCATCGTGTGTTCGGGCCCAGAGACCATAATGAAATTGGTGTCACTATCTTGAAACATCGACTTCGGTGGCTTGGACATGTTCTCCGAATGTCGTCCCAGAGAATTCCACGCAACTTCCTTAACTGCAAGAGTTGTTTCTGGTTGTACTTTGCTAACTGAACTGTTTTTAAATTATCACTACACAATCGTACACTATCTCTTAGTTATCGTCCCCCTTTTTCTTATACGCACCTTACATTCTCTATCTCTTCACAATCTGATTGTTATTCTGTGGTGCATATGTATTTGGTCGCCCTTCATATCAATATTTATATGTCCAATTGTATATCGTAGTCCTAATTCCTTACACGAACCCTTATTTAACCCTCTAGTAAGTAGCTGGACATCCCAAGGTCATTGTAGCGTTGCCCAAAGGTCATCCATAAATCATAATCTCATCACGATTAGTCGTCAACCTTGTATCTCGAATAGTGGAGGATCTACCTAAGGGAGTTGGAAAACCCTCATTGCAAATCAATGGGGCATATGTGCTCCAGGATCCTGAGGGAACAAATGACGTATGAACCTATTGTTGAACAACGGCTATCTTAACGGCATTCCACTGCCTTGTGGATTAGATCTCAAAAGCTCCAATCGTGACTACCTTAGAAAACCACCTGCTTCCGTTTGAGCACCTGGACAGTATTATAGCCCTTACAAAAATTGGATGATTTGTGCGGTACACATATATTTGATGCCTCCTTGCATCAGTGTTCAGCTGTTTTCTAAATGAAAATAAATAAAGGTGATCAAATAAAGAGTAGAAACTGTCATCAGTCGTACAACTGCAATAGATCATATCAAACTAAATCAACAATAAACTTAACTTACCCGTCTATAGTTGAAGGAAAATCAGGGAATAATGATGATTTTGTAGTGAATGTATTAATTGAATGTAAAAGTTTTAAATTTTTCGTTGAATGTATTGTAACACCTTTACGTTCTGAATTAATCATCACTAAATGAGGTTGATATGGATGAAATTTCACTTGACTTGATATAGAACAATAATTATCATTATTACTATTATTATTATTGCCATGATTGAGATGATGATTATAAAAAGCTATAGGATGTAAACAATAATCATCTAGGGAATTATTTATATTATTATCACCACTATCATTGCTACGAAGACTAATACGACTTCTACTCATGTTACTCATACCAACACTACTACTA